TGACACATAGACATCATGCCACCTAGGACCAAAACTTAAGATCATTTTTAATTCCTGAATCCTACTCTGCAATCCCAGGGAAGCTGGAAAACTAAGCATCATTAGCTTAAGAACCACCTCAGATATTAGCCCTCATGCAGAAGGCCTTGGTGAAGAGTCATACTTAGGAGAGGGATATATAGAACACCCACAGATAGCAATAGCAACAATATTGGTGAGATTGTCCCTGTTGCTTTTTTCTGCATTTAAATTCCTTCCTTAAGGGCTGGGCCCTGGTAGCTCACACCTGTAATCCTAGCTACTCAGGAGGCAGAGATCAGGAGGATCGTGGTTCAAAGCCAGTCAAGGGAAATTGTCCGCAAGACCCTATCTTGAAAATACCCAACACAAAAAAGGGCTGGTGGAGTGGCTCATAGTGTAGGCCTGGAGTTTAACTCCCAGTACCACAAAAAAATTAATTAAAAAAAATCAATTCCTTCATTCAATTTAGAGAAATATTTTCCTTTCCTTCTATGTAACAGCTAAGACTATTCTGTATGGAGGGGCAGTGCATGTTGCACAGAGACTGAAATTAAAAGCCTTGAGTCTAAATTCTAGTGCTGCTGCTTATTAATGTTGTAATCTCTGCAAAGTTCTTTAACCTTAGTCTGTTTCCCTATCTGTAAAGTGGTCATATCAGGAATATCTAAATTATGCAATTACTATAGGAAAATATGTGAAAATTCTATGCAAATAACCATCATAACATTGAATTTATTCTGTTTTATCGCACCAGAACCAATTGACTCCTTTTCAACCAATGCTAGTTTATTTCCATGTCTTGAAACTTGTCATCCCAATCAGTGCAACTGATTCTTAAATGAACTAACTTAATTGAGTGAAATTAGGAATGCATCCACTTAGAGACAAAAGGCCCTATATACATATGGAACTACATAAAATATCTCTGGAATTACATAAGAAACTGTGAACAGTAGTTGCCTATGGGATGAGGAATTCACAAAATTATGAGATAAGAATAAGGGAATTTGTCTTTTATTGCATATTTTTTGTATTTTTTAACTTGGTATTTACTCCAAAAATTAATACAATGTATGCTATAAAATAAATAGGCCTTTATATATATATATATATATATATACTATGATACTTAAGATCTTTTTTTACTACGTGTTTTTATTGATAAGCTCAATTAATTAAAAACTGCAGAATTAATTATAAACTAAAACTGCTCAATTAATTAAAAACTAAGAATTTCTAAGCATTTTGTCATTTCAGAAACTCTTTTCTCCGAATATTTAAAAAATATACAGCACAGAGGTGGAGAATCATAAGCTAATTTTCATATACAATCACACTGTTATTGCTAAGGTTCTAAACTGTAAAATGAAACAAATACCCAAACGGTTAGATCATTTCAGATGTTAACTGAATTTGTAACTAAAGTAATAAACAAAAGACTAATTTCCTCAGTAAATAAAAAGCTCCTGTGAATTAGCATGAAAGACTAATAAATGAGGAAAGACTTTGAATACAGTCTTAGAAAATATTTAGAATGAAAAGATGCTCAATTTTGCTAACAAAAATCCCTACAAATTTAAACCACTCTAAAACCATTTTTTAATTTATTCAGTTGGCAAAACTTTGAAAATGTTCCAATGACTCCCCATGTTTTTTAGAGTTAAGCCAAATGTCTAGAGATGGTCTATAAGGCACTAAGGATCCAATGTGCTATCTATATCCTGCCTTTATTTTCTACTGTCCCCTTTCTCACTTCATCATAGTCACTGGCCTCCTTGTGTGTCCTTAATATACTAGATAACTTTAGTGCCTTAGAAATCTTGATATGACTATTTCCTTTGCCCAGATATTCTTTCCTCAGGTCTCTTTATGCCTGACTCCCTCACTTTCTTCAAGTCTTTTATGAAATATCACCTTCACGAAGACTACTGCTACCATTGTATTTAAAATTACACCCCTTCCCAATGGTACTGCTGTGTTGAGGTGCAGAGCTTCCAGGCAAGGGATCAGTTGCAGAGATAAGCATCTTGAGATGATTTGCACATTCAGCCACTGACTGATTGGTTTCAAGATGAGACCACTTAAGTAGTGGCTATTTAACATTTTTATTTCACTTTTGGCAGTGATGATATTACTATTTGAAACATCTCAAAAGGTTCTTTCAATAACCAGGATGCTATCACAATTTCATTGTTAAAAAAGTCAAAACTTCAAAAACCATCAACCAGAAGACCCTTTTATAATTTTTAAAAAGCTGTTTCAAATAATTTAATAATGTACTAATTAATACATTTTTTAATAATTTAAAACACTTTTACAAAGATGTTTTCACTTCGAAATCTAAAAGAAATATCCTCACAAGATTACTTAAAGCTCTAAAACAAATTTCTATGATGTTGTGAACTGTATTTGGCTTAAAACATATTTGAAAAAAAGTTTTTTTTCATATAAAAGTTTACTAAAATGCAGTAAGATTGGTTGGCTAGACTTTATAATTCTGCAGTCTGTATTGAAATGATAATCTAGGCAGTAATACAATACAAAATCTACTTGGAAATCACCAAGGCATTTACAGGGGAAAAGTTTGAGGGCTTTCTTATAAAAATAAATTTTAGATTTAAAGTCACAAAATTTGAACTGGCTACAAATTCCTCTTTTAGTGTCCTGCCCTTCTTGACATGTAAGAAGTGATGTCCTAAAAACACCACCATCAGAGTTAAAATTCATTAGGCTTTGCTAGGTTTGTTTTGATTTGGTTGGTAACTGGTTTGAAGACAAAAGGCCTGGAAGCTGCATCTTCAGCTGGCATGTGGAGAATAGGGATCTCTGGATCCTGTGAGTGGTTGGGGATGTTGTTGCTTTACCTTGCTTAGAGGAGTTACCTGCAGGTGTACTACGGTTTGCTTACGTGGTCTGGGGCAAGATTCTGCTGAAAAGCAGGGTCTAAAGGACTAATGCACAATAAGGCTGGACTATGTTTTATATAGTCTCACCTTCCCACCTTTTAATTCACAAGTGGACATCTTTTCTGGATTCTCAATTCCATCATGTCCATTTAACCTTTTCCCTTCCTCTTAAAAATTTTCCTTTTCTATATTCATGCCACCATTTGTTTTTTTGTTTGTTGGTTTTTGTTTTTTGTAAAGGGGGTGATATCTATAGAAACCATTGTATACTTTTTTGGAGGGATACTGGGAACTGAACCTAGGGCCTCAAGTGTGCAACTCTACTCCTGAGCTATAGCCCCAGTACTAATAGGAACCACTTTAAACCGGTGTTGTCCTTGGACATGAGATGAGATGTGGCAGCTGGCACTGGTCTTTAAATAAGGGAAGCTTCCCTATGTCTTAAGAATCCATCATTATTTTCTTGAAGGAGAGAGAATCTATTATCTCCTTTTTGTATCTAATAATAGAAGGCAATTCTTATCATCCTTTCTTCTTCTGTCTCATTATTTTCCTTTGCTTCTGAGGAGGGTTTGGAAGAGGTAGGAAAAGTATATATAATGTGAATTCAAGTGTGACAGGAAAATCTTCATCCCACTCTTACCCTCTCCAGTCTGCTCAGTAATACTTAAAATTTCTTAGTAGAGCTTCATGCTTTTGGCTGAAGAACCTTATCCTGAAAGTGTAACATCATTAAGCCTTGCATTATTAATCATTTCCATGTAACTGTGAGCTTACCAGATCCTTCCCCATGAGCAAGAGATGGGAAAAGGAAGGAGGGGAAAGCTAGAAGGAACAGAGATTCAACCTAGTTTACAGTTTTACCTGGTATGTTTCCCTTGCCAGGGCTGGTGCCTCAGTGCTTCTCCTCTTCCCATCTTTTATTTAAATGATAATTTCATCTTTCAGTAAGAGGGAGAAAATGAATTTCTTATAAAAATAGGTAGCTCAGTATAAGGGAAAAAAGTGAAACTCAAAGAAGTGAGAATCTAAAATAATAAAGACACTTGGGGCTGGGAGCATGGTTCAAGTCGTAGAGTGCCTGCCTAGTAAGCACAAGGCCCTGAGTTCAAATCCCAGTAACACACACACACACACACACACACACAATAAAATAATAAAGACACAGATGGATCAGTAATAGTGAACAATACATTTTAATAGTGTATGATGAAAATAAAACTAAAATGACATTCTATTGTATTAAATCTTTATTTCAACATATGACAAATTTCCAGAAATTTTTTTTGTATATTTTCTAAAATTCAAAAAATAAACTATCTCTGAGGAGAGCCTTATATAAAAATAATAGAGCTATTTGGATTAAATAGACTCTCACTATAATTATCATTAGGTACTTCTTAGCACTTCCCACTGCTGAGGTAGTTCAGTAAAAAGCAGTCTCTTAATGAATGCTTCTCTCTATGAATTTTAACTCAATAAGCATAAATAAAATAGGATAAGCATTGTTGTGCTTGCTATTCCCTGTTGGCTTTATTACTTAAATCTGACTGGAGGGAAAGGAACTGTACCATAAATATAGGCAAAGAAAAGGGATTCATGTAACCTCTTTCATGTCACTGGAGATTTAAACTGTATCCTAAACCAGCCTGTGAAAGCACAAGCCCTTTACATTTTGGGATTTGAAAAAGGAAATTCACTCATTCACCCATTTTTAAATACAGAAATTTAAAGACAAGTCTATTCCAGTCACTAGCGGTCTGCTTCTGCAGTGAAAATGAAATGATGAGATCAGACCAACAATTCAAAAAATGTTCAGAAATAACCACTAACTTATACTTTAACTCCACTCTCAATAGTACAGGATGTACATTCTATCTGATTAAAAGATAAGGCCCACTAACTTTTAGATAAGAAGTGTCCAACCTTTGTATTTGATTTGAGACTCAGTATCACTTTATAGCATTTGTTTGATTATAGGAATTTGGAGCATGAGCTCACTAACTGTGATTACTTGTGGAGCAGATCTGCTTTATTCCCATTTGAGGGAAGGAGTAGAATGAAGAGCAGAGCAGAACAGTCAAGGATGTGGGTTTTGAAGCCAGATTACTCAAGTCTGAATCCTGGCTTTGCTATTTACTAGTTGTGTGACCCTGAGCAAGTCACTTTCATGTTTGGTTCTGTAGCTTCTCTTTCTGCAAAATGGAGATAAAACATGAAGTAGTTAGAAGAATTAAGAATTAATTATATAATGTACTTAGAGTTGGCTCATTGTAAGCACACAATAAAATGTTACTCATTTTGACTGGATAACCTGGAAAATGTTATTAGTTCATATGTGGATTGTAAAGTTGGTTGCAACTAATTAGGCCTAGGAGAATACAGTGAAGGATGCACGCAACTCAAATGTGTGCTTCACACTGAAGGTTAGCATTTGTGACCACCTTTGTGGCTATGCTCAAGAGTGAAGATTTAATCTATCAGACAACAAGGGCCTGCATTTTAGTTCAAAACATCTGCTGGACCCAGACCTCTCTTGAGCAGTGAACCTCCTGAAGCCATACCTGGCATGCTGTCACATTCCTCAAAACAAATCCAACTCACTGTGAACCATGGAAAAATTAGTTCCTAAATGTCTTTCAGAGGTGGCAGTGAAAGGTAGGGGAGAGGAGGAATATGAATTCATATTGTTTACTGAACAACAAAAACAATGCAATTCACCATTGAATATGTCATCTGTCAGTGGTCCCATTTCTTTTCTCTTTCCCATACTACCTTTTGTCCTATCTAGGGCAAGAGTTCAGCTCTGGCTCTCTGCTTATGTTTCTCCACCAAATAAGAGCCTGGGAGTTAGGGCAATACTGATCATTTTTAATTACTCCAGAATGCCTCTTAGGGATTTCCTACCCTTCCACATGCAGTTTATTAAGGTATTCACCTGACACAAACAAATCTCTTTCTTGGAAAATTTCTACTTAGTGAGAAAATTTTCTCCACTTATGCTAAGGCAGGCAGTGGGTGCTGAACAAATAACAGTTCTATCCTAGAGTCATTTGAGAATGTGGCAGCAGTTGTAGGAAAGGAAATCAGGAAAATGGGAAAGAAGGAAGGAAGGAGTGGAAACCTTGTATATATTGGGATAGATTTAGCATTATACCCCTTCAGAAGTTTTTTTATATTGCTTGAAGGTTTTTAAGGGAAAGGAAGGAGAAAGGCCATAATGGATTTTATTGAAAAAAAAAAAACCAATCATTAAATATGATACTATAAACATAGACTATTATTTTGCTTTTAAGATTGTTGGCAATTAAGTGGCCCTCACAAAAGAGCCAATAATACTAAACTGCAACACTAACATTTGTTTTTATTTATTTATTTATTTATTTATTTTGGTGCTAAGGATTAAACCCAGGGCCTCATGCATGCTAAGCACTGAGCTACTATACCCCTGGCCCTGGATCTCTTTTTGAAATGGTTCTAGACCTGTTTATCAATACTGGAACTTTATGGGATGTTCTGGCAACCTCAAAAACTCATTAGATTTTTCGCTATATCTGCATATTTAAACCAAGAGCTACCCTCCCTGACATACTCTAACCACTTAAGGGTTTTTCCCTGGAAAACATTTTGGAGGTAATTAAATGGGTGCAGATGTCTTCATGCTGGCATTGCCTAAGACTGGAAAAAACGAAAGGTGAGTGGTGTATTAGTTGCTTCTGTAATTTCTTACAGGATTCATTTTTACCTGACGTTGCTTGCCTTGCATTTCTAAGCAGGGAGACAGCCCATGAGCTTCCTCAACCAGCAAACTGTCTGCTCAGGTTCTAGTTGGTCCCTCACCCTCTGGACTCGGAACAGAGCCTGGGAGGCGATGATGCGCAGAGAGGGCTCAGGGTCATTCAGTAGATCTTTTAGATCTAAGTGACAAGAAAACAGGAGGTTGGAAGTGAAAGCCCGTGGGGTCTCTGGAAATGACCACTGCTCTGGATACCTAACAGCCAACATGCTGTAGCAGCAAAGGTAAAACACCAAGTTTTTCTAAGACTGTGTAAAAGTCTTTACATTGATGCATCAATTCCAATTTTGACCTATAAAACCTACTGGTTTCTGTGTTGCTAAATATTTTACCCCTTTGCAATAATCACATTCTAAGTAGTCTTACCTAAAATCAAATTTATCTGGACCTGCTAAGCCATATCTCATGTCAACCTCTAAAATCCTGTGGCAATCCTAAATGTAACACTTAAATCATTATTCCCTTTAACATATTTAAATTTTTAGGGTTTTTTTGGGCAGTACTGGGGTTTGAACTCAGGACTGCTCACTTGCTAGGCAGGCAAGCACTTTATCACTTAAGCCGCTCCAGCAGCCCTTTTTTGTGTTGGGTATTTTTGGAGATAGGGTCTTGAGAACTATTTGCCTGGGACTGGCTTTGAACCACAATCTTCCTGATCTCTGCCTCCTAAGTAGCTAGGATTATAGACATGAGTCACTGGTGCCTGGTCAAATTTTTAGTTGTTTTTTGTGGTTTTGTAGTGTTAGGGATTGAACTCAGAACCTTGTGCCTGCTATTTGAGCCACACCCTCAGTCCTAGTTAGTTATTTTCCTTTATATTATTGTTTGTTTTTCAGTTTTATATGTTTCTTTTTTTTCCAAAGTTGGCTTTAAGAATTTTTATGTAGACAAATATAGCATTCTTTTATTTTGTGGATCTGTCTTTGGCATCATATTTAGAAAAGGCTCTCTTTTTTATTTCTAATTCTCCAAGGTTTCAAAAATGTTCACATCCTCTTATAATTTGAAACTTTTTAATTTCTTAAGTAGCATTTTAGCCTTTAAATCATTGTTTGTTTTCAAAATGAAATATTTAGTTTCCAGTTTCTTGCAGTTTCCCCTTTTAAGCCAGTTTCTTTTACTTATTTATTTTTTGGACAGCACTGGGGTTTGAACTAAGGGTCTCACACTTGCTAGGTAGGTGCTGTTATAGCTTGAGCCACTCCACCAACCCCTTCTTATAGTTTTTGCATTGAGATCTATCTGCATGTTCCAAACAACACATAAAGAAGCAGACAAAAATTGTTGAATCCAAAGGAACTGAAATTTATTTTCTTTGAACTTAGTATAAATTGGTATTTCAGTTTTTGTTATTTCTCTTTTAAATTTAGCTTAAAATTATCAGTAACAAATTACATAAACTTGTTAAAAGGTTAAAAGAGGGATATCATAAATCATAATATTCTATTTCTCTCTCTTTGTCTTTTTCAGTCTCAATCTTTTTCTCTCTTTGAGATAAGATCTTGCCATATTGTCCAAGCTGATCTTGAACCCATGGGCTCAAGCGAACCTCCTGCCTCAACCTCCCAAGTGGCTGAGAGTGCAGGTACATACTCTGAACACCCTGTTCCTAAGACAGATGAGCCACTACTGAGGAAGAAGAGTATGGGATTATCTCATCGGTTAAATCAAATGAGACTGCAACATTTGGCTTGTTTTGGACCATAAATTGACAATTTTATATTGTTTATCATGTATACATGCTAAAGCTTCTTTGGCTAACTTTTGAATAGAAATAGATTGGGTTCCTAAATGCTTTAAAAAAAATAACTTCCTTTTTTTCCTTCACTTTTTGAGACAGTTATGTAGCCCAGGCATAATCTTTCTTAAATAAAATTTAGCCCCTACTTGTTTCACCATTTTTTTTTAAATTTTAAAAGTAGTGAATTGTTCAGGATTTTAATTTGGTTATCAAAATAATAATTTTGGATTGTGAGACTTAGCATTTCATGATATTTTCTAATTGTAGAACAACTTCTTACATGGGAATAAAATAATACTTCTTTGAGTCCTCAATCTGCTAAGATGTACTATTATAGATATTTTTCACTCACCGACAATTCTGAAAGCATTTGCCTTATATGACCATGCACCTCTATTACCAAGTTGTACACCTTACAGGACAACTGCTTATAGAATATATTGCTTAGTCATCTCTATAGCACTTAAAAGGTTATCATCAATTTGTTAAGACAGTATTTCTAGGTAACATATTATTTCCTGATAGACAAATTTTAGGAACTGTCCCTAAGACACTTATTAAAACTAGTTTCCTGCTGGGCACAGGTGGCTCTTGCCTGTAATCTTAGCTACTTGGAAAGGTGAGATCAGGAAGATCATGGTTTGGGCCAGCTTGGATAAATATTTGTGAGACTCCATCTCCAAAATAACCAGAGCAAAATGAACTGGAGGGAGGCATGGCTGAAGTGATGAGTGCCTGCTTTGCAAGTACAAAGCCCTGAGTTCAAACCCCCATACTGAAAAAAAAAAAAAAAGCTGGTTATCAGACAAATAGAGTCATGTCCTTTCTTATGATGGGAATTGGATTGGGATGAGACTGTCCTTCAGCTAAAGTCATCAATAGTTGATTGCTGTAAGTTGGAATTTTTATATGCAAGAGTCGCATCTCTGCTACAGAGCTTGCGGATAGCCACTGCCTCAGATACCTTCCAAAATATGGGTGCATTCCAAATCCAAGAAATGTTATCACTTACCATTCTCTATCCAGTCAGTACCATTCATCCTGAGCTCACTGTGATCCATATACTTTGATAAGAGCCCTAGACACAGGATAAAGTCAGTGAGTCTGTGATCTGGTTTTTGCTCTTAGAAATTAAAATCTGAGTTCTGTTTTTTGTTTTGTTTTGTCTTTGGCAGTAGTAGGGTTTGAACTCAGGGCCTCATACTTGCTAGGCAGGTGCTCTACTGCTTGAGTACACCCTAGACAAAACCTGAGTTTTAAGAAATCTAAGCAGTTGGCAGAATTGGCCTTTTGATAATTAGGCAGATTCCAAAAACAACTTCCAAGTGCCTGATAATTACCTATATGTAACAAAGGCCCTTTCTCCTAGAGGTACTTTCAAGGTCATCTTCATAAAGAAGGGGGATACTCAACACAATTAGGGAAATTACAGGATAAAAGTGACTGTAGAAATGAAAGGATTTTCTTTGTACCTACAAACAAGACTGCTGCTCTTCTGATGGGAAGTTTTGCATTCTTGGAGTACATCAGTGTTTGGGCTATAATGTTAATTTTCCCCTTGCATTTTTTTCCCTATGTGAGGAAAAAAAAGATTATAAAGCAGTGAAGTAACAGCACTATTTTGATCAGCCTCACTATAGTTTTCAAGGTCAGGGACTATATTAGATATAGATACACAGTACAGCAGTGCTTGAAGTAACTATAGTGAATATTATCAATAATCAATAAATACACTCAATGAATATTATGCCATGATAACAGCCCCTACAAAGTTAAGTCTTTGGAATACCCCTTTGTCCATATGTACTCATGCATTATACCTGCAATGTCTTTAAAGGTTCTCTGCATATAAGTCTTCTCTATTCTCTATTCTCTAATCTCCACCTTGAGCTCTCTCCTGACCTGCCTGACCTAACCCTGCTCTGAGTGTTTTGCAGGTACTCCTCTCTTGGCACATCTTATTTTCTACTTTGAGTTTCTATTTAATTTTTATCTACCCTTACCAGCTTGAAAGCTCCCAACTGGAAGTTTTAAACCTCAGGGCTCTCCATAGTCTGTTGCACACTGGATGTGCTATGCTTATTGGGTAAGAATGCACCTTTCAGTGGATCTCTTATAAAGACAGCTACCTCAGGGATAGGATGGGGAGAACAGGAATTTGAACTCATAGTGCTTATGATTTAACATGGACAATTTATAGTCTGACCCATTGAAAGCACTGAATTTCCTGCTAGAAATACTATCATCAGTGCATCAGCTACAGGTTTGGTTGCAAGTCAGAGAGATAATACCCAGTGGAAAACCAGACACAGGGGCACTGTGGGCTTCCTAGCCCAGAAAGTTTAATCAGAGCAGACCACTCTGGGTCTTAAATAGGCATACATATGGAAGATTCCTAGAAATAGTCAGTCCCAGGAGCTTCATAGCAGGATCCAGCTTGTTCACAGTCAGTTTTTAGAAAACCATGGGTGAATCTCCTGAGGCTGCTCTGGCTCAAGCCTGCCCCTGAGATGAGCCACAGTAGACTTTGTCAGGTTTGCAAAAAGAAAGGACGCCATTTGGTTCCTGGCACAGGCAGTGGCATGCTGCCATCCTGTTGCATGGTCATATATCATGGCAGCCTTTGCTTGGGAGTCTTTAAACATTCTCTGATGGAGAAAAAGACAATCCACTATATGTCAAGGAAGGGATTAGAGGTAGTTGTAAAGGCAATATATAACTCTATTTCAATTCAGATTTTGTGGAATTTTTTGAGCATATACTATCAGCCTGACTTTGTAGTCTTTGACCCAAGTTAGTCAGGCTCTCAAGAGTTCAGCAGTCTTTTTTATGAGGAAGGCTAGTAATAGAATGTGAATTTGTGACTCCACTGGGAGGGAACTATAGAAAAACAGATCCATGGTACAAAGTAGTTCACAGATATCAACTGCTTGTGTGAAAAGGGATGGGAAATGTTTCCTGTTTGCCACATTAAAAATCAGCTCAGAAAGAGTATGTCAGCATGTTGAAAAGTTAACAAAGCCATTATTTCCTACTTACAAAGAAGTTGCAGATTTTCGCTACTTCAATAGGTTTAACGTACAAGGGATCTTTGCAGTACACGTCTCGTGGCAGCTTCCACTTCAGGAACTGAGCACAAATAGTTAGAACTCGCATGCTCTCCTGTGAAAAAGATTATCATAGATCAACATTTTCAAACACTTTTTTTTTTTAGCTGAGGTAATCTTTCTTCAATAAAACAGATACCAAAGTTTAACGTGAAAAGCCAATAAACTGACAATTAACCCTGGGTGAAGTGAGGGGAAGGGAGGACCTAGAATTCTGCTCTCCAAGTCCCCCAAACAGGCTGAGAAAGGGATCCATAAAACTGCAGGGTTCTGGGGAGGATGTAGAAACCAATGGTCTCAAGTAAAAGTGATAGCTATCAGATGTGGTACCCAGACCAGAGATTTGGGTAGGGATTTCTTCTCCTCTGTGATCTAGAGACAGGGCTTCCACCCCTACTTAGTGCTCCTATGTTATTTTTCTGTTACTGTGGAAAGCATACCTCCTAACTTCATACAGCTCTGGGGGCATCTCTGGGTTGAAGGAGCACTAGAGGGTTGAAACCTTTCTGATTTAGATACTAGAGGAAAACTGAATAAGTAGCCTCTTATGTAGTTAGTTGCTCTCAGCATGCAGCCCAAGTACCAATCAACACCTCTGATGAGTCGCTAAGCAAGTATTTTTATCTCAGGTCCATTAGAAATTTGGGCCATAAAAATTCTTTTGGGGAGTGGGAAGAATAAAAATTAGTTCATCTGCTTTGTTTAGTAATTTGTAAATATCTAGTAAAGTCAAAGATACTCAGATATTCTACTCTAGGTTTATGCCCTCAAGAAACTTACACAGGTGCACAAGAAAATATGTACAAGAATGCTCATTGCAGCAGTGTAATAATGAAAAACTGAAAACAGTTTAAATGTTCTAGACTAGAATGGGATAAGGTGTAGATTACTTATATGATGGAATTCCATATAGCAGTGAAAATAAATGATCTAGAGCTGTACAACATGGATAAAAATCATAAATACAATGTGAAACAAAGAAAAAAGCAAGATGCTGAGAGATTTATAGAATGACACAACATATAAAGTTTTAAAACTTGAAAAATATTACCACAGGGATGATAAAACCAAAATTCAGTATGACAAGTCTTGGAGGAATTTAGCTGGAGATAAGGATATGATTTATTCTTATTTTAATTCTTATGAGAGAAGAGGTAGCTGTATAGGCATTATGTTTTCTGTGCCAGTGACTACTAACTAAGTTTATGTTAGAGACCTCCTCTCTGCTTAGACTATCTATCCTCTGAGGAGTCTGGAAGAAGCAGCTAGAAGTTGTTCAAGGTCTGTAGGGAAATAAGCTGAGAGCCTTGGCTACTCTATGCCTTGCCTGATTGTCAAGGGCTTGCAGGGTGGGAGTGGGATCTCAATGCCTCCAAGTATCTGTCAGCTCCACAGGGAATGCCTCCCTACCACCTTGGGAAGTTCTGCTCTCTACTTTACTGGAGTCTGAAATGTTTTATACTTATGGCTCTAGAGCCACAAACCTTTCCCCACTACAAGTTGTCAAGGTCATCCTAATCCTCAATCCTGTTTCTGAAATTGCAACCTTGACTTTCATTTCTGTAAGGAGGAACATACAGAGGTGAGAACTCCAGCATTCTTCCAGAATCCTGTGTTCTAACTCTACCTCCTTTCCTGTGGCCTAAACCACAGCATCCCTGGGATGCTGCAACTAGTGTTTATAGTTGGCATGTTGGATGGAACAGGCTTATGGTATGTGTGACAGATGATGATGACATTCCAACCTCCCACCCACCACTCAGTTAAGACTAGGATGGCTTAAATGGAAAACCACAACTCTCATGGCAAAAACTCTTGGAAGATTTAGGGGAGGTAAAATCTTCTCAAGATGGTCAGAGAGGCTAACGCTCTCTGACTTAAACTCAATACAAGTTATTTGTTTCAAGGCCATGAAGTAGTCCTTGAAATGAAAGAAGAATGAATAGAATATTTGTCATCAACAAAAGAATGTGTTGATGGCTGGCAGAATAGCTCAAGTAGTAGTCCACTTGCCTAGCAAGTGCAAGAGCCTGATTTCAATCCCTGGTACTGCCAAAAAAAAAAAAAAGGTGTGTGTTGAATTGCACACTATATTTAGTGCTCTGTGCCAGACTGAAAATTGTGGTGAGGCTACAAAGCGGGCTAATAGTGATTCTTACCCACAAAGGGCCATAATTTGCTACATAGAAATTAGAAGTAAGATTTTCTACAACTCACTGAGGCAAAATAATTGAAAGATAATTCTGTGCCAGAAGACAAAGGGGGAAAAAAAAAAAGATGGTGCTACAAAGTCCCTGCCCTCAAAGATATGAACAATTATTTGCTGAGTTGGGTCTGGATTTAGAGTTATTTAGGGCTGAAAGAAGTTGACAAGTGGGCATTACCTCTGCTATTGCATCATTTTCATCCTGAGAATACAGAAGTAGTGGGACCAAGCTGTCCAGCACTTGGTTCTCCACACCCTTCTTATCTGTGTGTTTCACATACTTTATGGAGGCCCCAAAGAGGGTCATAGAGAAACGATGAACATCGGGTCTCACCTAGGAAGAGAATATCCACAGAGAAGGAACTCACTGAATGTGTTCATGCTTAGCTTATACGAAGTCTAGGTGGGTTGACATGTCAATCTTAACATGAGGCTATTTATCTGCATGTAGTTGAGGTTAAGAAACAAAATATATATGGAGACAGCCAGACCTGCTGTTTGGCACTCTTGTTGTTCTCTCACTCTATAAGTTAGACATGGGTACAGTCACACCTGTCATTGTCAAAGCTTGTTCCTAATGTTGGTATTATATGTTCATACATGTTCTTTTGCTGAAATTCGAAATTCCAGCCTTGGCATGTTTTACTCTTCTAAGTATGCTGGTCATTATGCTCTGTGCATTTTTGAAAAATCTTATTTGACCTAGTGTCAATTGTTCCTTGAAAGCAAAGACAATGTTTTCTCCTATACAAACTCTTTCCATCTCCCACAGAGCAGGGTAATGCCTTAGTAAGTTTCTAACATCATGGGTTACCTCTTAGGGTATTGAGGCAGGACATTTGAAATGCTCTAAAAGTAAGATGTTCTATATAAAATAGGATGTACTTATTACTATTCTAACTTCTACTCAATGGTATGCCAATTACCCTCTCCCTAGGGAAGTTTCTGCTCTCTTATTGACTTACATCACCAAATAAGGAGAACAGGGTCTTCATCATGGTAGACAGGGTGGTAAAGTCCATTGTCCTGACAAGCTGCAGGAGTATCTGGATGGCCAATAAAACAATCCTCTCATCAGTTTCACACAGGCTGTCTAAGATTGATGGCAATAGGCTCTTGATGTCTTCCCTCTGTGTGTCCAAAAGCAGCACATGACTACCTCTCCTAGAAGTCCAAAGGGAGGGCTCCCACCTTTACTCAATACCTGGTGCTTGCTGGATTTCTATAGCTCTAGCTAGTCCAGGATGGAGAGGTAAAGAGGGCATGATTGCTCTCTCTCAATATTAGCAGGCCTGATATGTAGAGGAGGGGACAGAGTTGCTGAGAATGCCTTACAGGACAGAAATGGGTCCTAAAATAGAGTGGAATAGCTAGGTCAGGTCACAGCAAGTTTCCTAATACAGAAGGTATCCAAACAGGCTTAAAGATTCCTTGATAGGAATTCATCAGAATTTGATTGAGCACCCTTGAAAGTCTTTCCTATTTTGAATTGGGATTCAGCTCTTCTGAAACTCCTAGTTCAATCTCAGGGTTTTAAAACACATACAAGATGGGTAAGATGATAAGTACTTGGGAGGTAGAGGCAGGAGGATCACGAGTTCAAGACCAGTCTGGGCTACACAATGAGTTACAGACCAGCCTGGGTTGTATAGTGAGGCCCTGTCTAAAAAAAAAAAAATCAACACACGTTCACACACATATATACACTATGTATATGTAAGCAAGTAGAATAAAGCAACAAATACTCATGCATCCAATCAACCAGGATTAACATACACTTTGTCACTTTGGCTTCAGATATATGTGTATGTGGATATATAGATACAGATTTTTTTCAAATAAAAGAAATAGAACTCAAGTGACAAAACTGAAGCCTCAGGGATCACTGGTCTCTTCTGATTATAGCCTAGTTTCCTAGTGAGACCTGTGGAAAATGAGCTGTTTTCCTGCATGAATACCAGTGAGCTCCCTCTTAGATGATAAGCATCTTGGAAGCATCAGGTTACTCCACAGAGCAACATAGTACAAGGCAAATGATACCTACATGTTGTTCAAGTTATAATGACAATAAGTGTACCTCCCACAGAAATTGCAGGTTTAAAATATAAATGTTTGTGACTTGGATTTTTAAAATTTTAATATTTTAATAGTCAGTACTTGCATATTTCCTAGGTAAAAATTCAAATGGTACAAAAGTATGTACAGTGAAAAAGACATTCTCAGGCTGGTGGAGTGGCTAAAATGGTAGAGCGCCTACCTAGCAAGTGTGAGGCCCTGAATTCAAATCCTAGTACTGCCAAGAAAAAACAAAAGTAGAAAGAAAAAGACCTCTCCCATCTACTCCTGTCCCCAGGCTACACAGTTCTCTTCAGCTGCTGTCAGTGTTCTATTTGTGACAGGAATCAGTGATCAGGGCCTCCTTACCATCTTTTGGTGTCTAAGAAGGTTGCATAGTCCTCTCAGGGCAACAATTCTGAAGTGACTGTTTCCGTGATGCAGCCAGTCTTTCAAGCGGGCAGTGGAGTATGTGCGGGGCAGTCTCCTAGCCACCGGACTCTGGAGGAGCTGAAAGAACCCAGGAATCAGCCAAAGAAATGACCTTGAAACCCTTTTTTTTCATGAGGAGAGCTGCCTTCTCACCAACTCCAAAATATATTTTTTCCTTTGAATTCTCTATGATACAGCACATACAGTACAGGGTGATGATTATGTTGCAGGTACACAAGGAGTATGAATAATGAAAGTGTAGAAAAAGAACTTCAATATTTCTATTGCATGTCTGAAATGGAACCCAGTCTGACACTAAGTGGAAGGCAGATTCTACGGCTTCACTGGCTTTCTGAACCCAGCTTCTGGAGGTCAAGTCTTACCTCCACAAAAAAGCCTGCAGACGTGAGTTTATGTTTGTCATTCCCTCGGTTAAGTAGCGGGACTAGCAAGTACATGATCTTATGTGCGAGGAGTTGATTTCTTTCCAGCAAAGCACTGCAAAACAACAGGACTCTCAGACATGCTCCTACCCAAGTGGCAGTTCCTCAGGATGGGGCCCTTTGAAATTTCTGACCACCTTCAGGTATACAGGAGGCTATGGCAAGATCAGGACATTTGGAAAATTTGCCTGGCATTATGGATATTTATTTTTTTGGTGGTAATGGGATTTGAACTTAGGGACACTTGCTAGGCAGGTGCTCTTAACCACCTGAGATACTCCACCAGCCGTTTTTGTGTTGGGTATTTTTGAGAAAGGTTCTCACTTTTTGCCTGGGCTAGCCTTGAACTTATCACAGTTAGCTAGGATCTTGAGTAACTAGGATTACAGGCATGAGCCACTGGCGCGCAGGTTGTGTACTCTCTTATGAGAAGGTTATCTTACTTTAGTTGCTGTAATAACTAAAAGGGAGAAAAACTATTGAAAACCATGCTGATTTGGAGCAGATAAATATACTATGACAGGAGTATTATACTTACTTAGCAAGGAGAAATACTCCCTGAAGATGGCAGTCTCCTTCCAGAAGAGTCCATCCTTCATTCTTTTCCATGATGTTGAATTCCTGCCAGCACAATGTTCTGAGGAGAAGAGTCTTTGTAGCTTGCAGGGCAAAGCTAAGTAGAACAAAAACAGCATGGGTGAACAGAATAGGTCTCACCAACTTGCAAGTACCTAATCATTCCATTCTCACTGGGGAGGGCCACACATTGACAGCTGCTAGACTGTAATTTTCCCTTTTCTAGATTTTCCAAAGACTCCTAATTCTCTAACAATTTGAAAGACGTTTTAAGAATCTTTATTGAGACACAATTTACACCCCTAAAATGTATCCCCACAGATTTAAAAAACTACTTACTGAACTGATATCCTGAACAAAGCCTCAGTAAAATCTTAAAGCTAGAAGAATTCTTGGGAGAGCACTTGGCCTGGAGTCTTCATTTATAGATAAGGAAGCTGAGGCATAGAAAAACAGATTTGCCAGGATATGCTGCTGGTTAAATGGACGAATAACTAGAACTCAGGTCTACTGATTCTTAGTCTGGTGTTCTTAAATATTCCACATTATAGCACTTCCTCTGAAAGAAACCCATTTACCATGGCAACACTAAGAAATTTCTGTTGAGACCCTAATAGAGAACTAAAAACATTTCTCCGTTCAATAAAGTTGAAATGAGGAATCATTTCACTGGAACAGTACAATTTTGGGGATAGGTCTGAGCTGCTTTTCTTGTCTTTGTGTCTACTTGTTTTATCAGTCATGATATCGCATATTATTTTGCAAGGTATCTGGACCCAGACAACCAAATTTACCTGCGTACCAAGAAAACTAAAGGAACCAATGAGAGCCCAGAATGATTGCTGGGCATGTCATCTTGGTGTCCCGTGAGGGCTGTGGACTGTATGCTCCCTCACGATTGGGACCATATCTTGACTATCCAGTGCCCACCATAGTACCCAGTGCTTACTAAGCGTTACGGTCAATGAAATGATAATGTGCAGTACCACAAAGGTGTGACCTCTGTTGACAGTTCCTTCTCTGCATACAGGCCACTTCGGATGGAGACGTCAGACATGGTGAGGCCGATGCTGTGGTGGATCTGGATGAGCAGCGTCACGAGAAGCTGAGGAAAGAGTCGGAACATGGCTGCTCGCAGCTTGTTTCCCACAAGCACCTCATAAAGGGCATCCGTTGCCTGTGACAGAAAAGGCACAGAGCATGAGTGATTGCTGCTGACCCAAAGCCTCACCTTGCTTTGTTTATGTTTGTGCCAGAACACGCTTTCTGGTTCTACTATCCCACAGGCAGGACAGCAGTAGTAATAAACACAGGGACATGGACGTGAAGGGGAGATGAGTACGAGTGGAGTAGGTGAGCACTTGCCTAACAGGCGCAAGGCCCTGTGTTCAATCCTTAGAACTGGAAAAAAATGTCACCAATGAGTGAGGAGACTTGACATCCAGAAGTCATAAAGTTATTAACATACTTGACTATATACAAATAAAAAGCCACACCAAAAGTTACAAGTGTAGACAACAAATAACAACTCAGAAAAGCATCTGTGTCTATGTGTTATTCTTAATCAAGTGCTCTGACATACCAGGATGAAAAAATGTAAAGGCTTGCTGACCAGTGTGGCCACACACCAGCAACACTGGCATCACTTGGGAGCTGTTGGAGATGGGGAGTCTCAAGCCCACCCAGGTCTTCTACATCAGCATCAATGTTTTACTGAGACTCCCAGGTGATTATGCTCTGTGTGCATATTAAATTTGGGAAGAACTGGTGCACAAAACATGAACAGATGAATCACAAAGGATGAAATATAAAAGGCCAATTAAAAAACATACACAAACATTCAACCTAACCAAAAACAAAAATATAATTAAAAGGTTCATTTTTCACTTAACAGCAAGGCAGCAGTGATGGGAATGCTCAGTGCAGTGAGGTTGAAGGGAACACAGCCAGGGAGGAGCAACATTCTGGAGGACAATGAATCAAAATTTTACATACATTCACTCTTTGACCCAGAATCCCCTCCAATGGCCTTTATCCTGAGAGAATACTGAATGTATATGACTATGTTATGATTAGGTTTGCGGTAACAATGTTTTAATGGCAAAAGTTTGAAAAATGTCAAAATGTTCACTTAACAAGAAACTTGATATTAAAAATGATTCTGAGTAACTGGGTATGGTGGTATATGCTTGTAATTTCAGCTACTTGGAAGGTGAAGCAGGAGGAGTTTAAGACCACCCCCAGGCAAAGTTAGCAAAAAAACAAAAGGGCTGGAGTGTGGTTCAAGTAGTAGACTGCTTGACTCACATTTGAGAGGCTCTGAGTTCATCACCAGTGGCCCCTCCCCCTACCCAAGGGTGCTGCATATGTGTAGTCCAGCTACTTGGGAGGCTGAGCCTTAAGCCCAGGAGTTTAAGGCCAGTTTGGACAACACAGAGACCCCCCCATTTCAAAATACAAAAAGAAAAAAAAACAAAAAATGATTCTGTACCATGTAAGATCTATTTTTTTAAAAAGTAATTAAAAATAAATGGCTAAAGCCGGTGGTTCGTGCCTATAATCCCAGCACTGGGAAGGTGGAGATAGGTGGATCATGAATTAGCGGCTAGACTGGGTTATACAGACACTGTCTCAAAAAAAATGAAATTAAATTTAAAAAGATGATATAGCCAGGGTAAGGATAGCCGAGATCCCTGTATATTCAGACAAGACAGTAGTTCATATATTGTTAAATAAAAGTATGTGCAGTATAACCTTATTAATATTTATATATAGATGGATGTTATTATGTGTACATAGATATAATTTTATAACTAGATTGAAAATAAGCCTTTATTTTCCCTAAATTCTAAAACTATAGTAAAGTGACATTACAGATATTTTTAAAAAGGCTGGCAGAGTGGCTCAAGTGGTAGAGTGCACCTACCTAGCAAGCATGAGGCTCAGTTCAAATTCCAGTACCACCAAAACCAAAAACACATAAGCTTGTAAGAACAGAGAACAGAAGACAATAGCAGATTAGAAATGTTGAAAGAATTTTGGAAGCTAAAAAAGTTATGATAATAATTCAGATCAAGATGGGTATGATGGCGTACACTATAATCCTAGCACCTGGGAGACTAAGATAGGAAGATAGATAGTTGGAAGCCAACTTGAGCTACATAGCAAGTTCAAGGTCAGACTTGATGCTGTCTCATGAAAATGTAGACCAGAAACTGGTAGGGGAGAGAATAATTTAAAAAGTATATACTGATAGTAGATGAACTGCGCGTGGGTAGAGGCTTTTTTTTTTTTTTTTTTGCAGTACTGGGGCTTGAATTCATGGCCTTTACTTTGAGGCACTCCACCAGCCTTATTTTTGTGAAGGGTTTTTCAAGATAGGGTCTCTCGGAACTATTTGCCAGGGCTGGCTTCTCCTGATTCTCCTGATCTCTGCCTCCTACGTAGCTAGGACATGAGCCACCAGTGCCTGGCTTTTTTTTTTTTTTTTTAACAACTTTCTGTATTTTCTATTCAGTTTTGCTGTGAACATGAAACTGCTTTAAAAAGTGTATTTAAAAGGAAAAAAAATGGGGAAAACATTAAATATGTACACAAAAAAGCTTATTTATGTATGTATGTGTGCATATATATATATATATATATATATATATATGAGTTTATAAATACTTCTAAACAGTTTAGATATGGTCTAAGAATTTTTTTAATGGGGTTCTTGCAATGTTGTCCAGGTTGGCCGCAAGCTCCAACTTCAAGCCTCCCAAGTAGCTACAACTATAGGCACATAGCACTGTGCCTGAATAAAGGTTTTACATTTTTTAAAGGATTATTGAAAAACAAAACAAAACCCAAAGAATATGTGACAAAGACTATGTATGGCCTGAGAGGCCTAAAATATTTACTCTCCATTCTTTTTTCTATTTTATACACTTCTATATTACTTAAAGATTTTCTTCACAAGTTTACCGCTAGCTATGACAATTTTTTAAATTTATTTATTTATTTAGTAGCACTAAGGGTTGAACTCAGGGCCTCACACTTGTTAGCCACTTGAGCTGCTCTACCAGTGTCAGAAGCAAACTTTGAAAGGGACTAAAAACAACACTCTTTAGATGGGGCAGTTATCCTTGGAGGGGAGCATGGTGGGCTGAAATTAGAGGGACAGAGCTCAATGGCTTACAGCAACAGCCACATAGGCCATCTTCTTTTGTATGGGAACATTATGGCATTTCTGCAGCTTTCTCAGGAGCCTCCACAGGATCCAGGTTGTGCTGGGTAGCTCTACTTCCAGGGTTCTCCACAACTCAGCCAGATGCCTACAAATCCAAAAGGTTTCAGGAGAGCAGCTTATCCCAGGCCTGAGATGATCACAACCTTCCTAGAGTTGGGATCTAATCTTCTCCCTGTTCAGTTTTTCAAGATATCAATAGTAGGGCTGGTGAAGTGGCTCAAGCTATACAGTGCCTGCCTACCAAGCACAAGGCCCTAAGTTCAAACCCCAGTACTGCCAAAAACAAAAACAGGTATCAATAGACAACCTATTATTTTCATAATAGTAACTCAAAAGGTTTTATTGAATCAAGCTCCCATTGCCTAGGCATGGACTTCAAGGCCATTCATATACTGGTCCTAAGCTTGTCAGTCCCACCACTTGACTATCACATACTCTAAGTCACCCCATACCATTCAACTTTGCCAAACAAACCATGGATTTTGAACACCCCATATCTTTGCCTATGTCATTTTCTTAAATTGGAAGGTCCCTTCCCCAACTCTATCCTGCCAATCAACACCCTTCAAGGTCCAGCTCCAGTGTCATCTCTGTGAAGCTTGCTGTTTCTTCACCACATGTCTCATGGGAATTCTCATAACATGTTTCAAATTTCTTCTTTATAGAAGTTGCCTCAGTCTTGCATGTCAATTCTTTATGTGTGTGTCTGTCTGTTCCCTTTAGCAGAAGGGATCATGTCTGGATCTCTCAGGAGGTAGCATAATGCCAGGTCCACAGAAGGCATTCATAGACACATCTATTCATTCCAATGTATGGTCCCCATATTTCCTAAGGTCAAGTTCTAAGACAAAACTTAGATCCTATTTAAATCTTTTCTTAAAGAAAAATTAATTTCTCAAAATTTTGACATTATAGCTAAGATCAGCCTTGACAAAATACTGAGATTCTATCAAAATTTTTTTTCTTTCTAGCATTGATTCAAATGTAGTGCCTGAGAGTTACATAAACACTGTGGAGGAGAACAGAGGAGGGAAGATTGGAGCTAGGCTTTTAAATATCTCCTCCCTCCCCGTGCCACGGTTCGGGGGATCTAATGGAACCTCTTGCATGCTAGGCAAGCTCCCTACCACTGAGCTATACCTTTAGCTCAATCCATTCTCTTTTCTTATTTTCAGAATCTATCTAGGCATCTTTGTGTGCTATAGACAGTGGTGTTCCTTTGTTTTTTGTGGTACTGGGGATCAGACTCAGGGCCTCATGCATGCTAGGCCAACCACTCAACCACTGAGTATGGTTGGTCATTCTACTATCTATATGAGACTTACTCTAAAAATTGAGAGTATTAGACACTATCCCAACATTTCATTCCCTACTTTTGTATTTCTAATCTGTGAATGCAAGAAAGCAAGAAACTTCTAAAGTTCAGCTTAAAGAACAGCACTATTATGCCAAGACATGTGAGAACCATGCACTTAAAAGAGTGGTTTTCAGACAGTTTAAACAGAGAAAGCTATTAACTGCTCTAGGTTGATTTTTACATAAAATACCCTTCTAATATGTGGATTAAAATTTTGTTTTATGCCTGCAAAAACAAAAAACAGAGAAAGCTTTTCTTCAAATAAAATAGTTGCCCAGAATCACAGTATAGAAAGCAGATAAAAACAGGTGCTTCTCTGGTTAAAGTGGCATCTCCTGGAGCTACCAGTGTAAAAACACCCAGCTAAAAGGCCTTCTTGTCTCTAGGATTTTATTCATATATATACATATATACATACATATACTACATACATATATAAAGAGAGGGGCAGTACTGGGGTTTGAACTCAGGGCCTCATGCTTGCTAGGCAGGTTCCCTACCACTTGAGCCACTCCAATAATCCTATTTGTGTTGGGTATTTTTGAGATAGGGTCTCTCAAACTATTTGCCTGGGCTGGCACTGAACCTTGATTCTCCTGAACTCTGCCTCCCTAGTAGCTAGGGTTATAGGTGTGAGACACTGGCACACAGCTCTCTATGAATATATTTATACTTTCTTCTTCTTTATGTACTATTTTATTTATTTACTTTGGGACAAAATCATTCTTTAATGTATCCTTCAAGTAAGATGTGGACATTGTTGTGTTTCACCCCTAAATAACTTCACTATTTTCTCAAAATAAGAAAATCCCTCTGCATAACCACAGTGCCAGTTCACACCTAAGTAAATTATCTTCATTTAAGAACCTAGTAGGGTTACCATATTTAAATATTTCCTCCAATTTCTTTACAGCTTTTGTTTTGATCTAGGATCCAGCTGAGGTCATGTATTACACTGGGTTATGTCACTTTAGTATCTCTTTATCTAGTACAGTGCCCCACCACCAGTGATATTAACTTTTGTGAAGAGTTCAGCCCACCTATCTTATAGAATAGTCTTCATTGTGGATTTGTTGGCTTATTTGTGTTTATGCACTGTATTCTGATTTATATCACAGGCATTTAGCTGTACCTTATCTCCTCTATGACAGTCTCATTAGATTGTTGAGAAGAACCATGTTCTATAATACTCAGAACTATGTCACATACCCCAATCTAATTCAGAGACTATACAAGGTTCTGTTACCTGTCATATGGTACTGGATGACACAGAAGGTGGCTGAGTACTATATCTGTGTACTTGGGCCTGGAGATAAACAGACTCACAGTATTTATGATTTGTTGGCGAACTTTAGGCTGGCTGATTATGGATAGCCGGGCACAGATAACTCCTATAATTTCTGGCACCTGAAGAAGAAAAAGAAATCACTAATACCTTAATCTTGTGGGACATTTATGATTTTTGAGGATATTGTGGTCACTTATGTCTTAGGAGTGACTTTGAAACAAAATGTCTTATACTTAAGGAGCTGAAGGTCTGATTCAGTAGTACAGTACTTACCTAGCATGCGTGAGGACCTGGGTTCCACCCCCAGCACTGAATACACAGGTGTTAACAGTGTATCTTTGAGTGATGGGATGTTAGATTTTTTCTTATCTATTTTTCTAATTTTTCTTCAATGATTACGTATTGATTTTATAATAGAACAAACTAATAAATGTGTTGTGTGGAAGCTGGGTTGTTTTCCACTCTGACTGATTATGGCAGAGAGTCCATACCCACCTTCCTTCAGCCATGTTGATCAGGCCAGGCAATGGAAGCAGGAGCCACAGGGCTTTGGTCCATTTCTCTACTTGGACTACTTACACTCCCCACCCACAGACTCTTGGCTCTAAGTCGATGTGGCACTGTCAGCTTCTCAAAACCTGACATAAAGTTGCTATCACTACCAGTTTCTAGAAGCTAGTTGAAGGATGGGCAGGTGATGTAGCTGGCCAAGGCAACATAAGGGAGAATCTATTGGGAGCTGTGGGGAAAGATTTTCTTCCCTCCAAAAAAGGAGGGCAACACATCCCTTCCTTTTGGATAGTTTTTTTTTTTTTTTAAGTACTGGGGTTTGAACTCAGGACTTTGCACTTGCTAGGCAGGCACTATACTGCTTGAGTCCTACCCCAGCCTCTGGATAGTCTTATCTACTCAGAATGCTTGAAATTGCTGTGACAACCAGGAAAAGTAGAAAGATGGAAAAGCCCTGAGTCTTAGATACCACTGTTGAATCACTTAACCCATCCTGGAAAATACTCTCTGTCCGAACTTCTTATATATATTTAAGAATGTCAGCTGGGTGTGGTGATCCATGCCTGTAATGCCAACTAGAAGGGAGGCTGAGGCCAGAGGATGTTGAGTTTGGAGCCAGGATGGGCAGCATAGTGAGACCCCTGTCTCAAAAAAAAAGAGAGAATATATATTTATATTCTTCAATTCAGTACTTTTAATTAATTAAGAATAATATTAATGTAAGTATATTTAATACATATACAATTACTGGATAATGTAATAAGTCTTTTGGTTAAACTTCTCACACTTGGTCTATTTTTCAAATACAGTCTCATGTTTATGCTTGGGCCAACCTGGACCAAGATTCTCCTATTTATGATTCCTGTGTAGCTGGGATGACAGGCTTATACCACCACACCCAGCTTTTTATTGGCTGAGATGGGGTCTTGTGAAATTTTTGTCCAGGCTGGCCTCAAACTTCAATCCTCTTGATCTCTGCCTCTTGAGTAGCTAAGATTACAGGCTTGAGCCACTTGGCCAATACATTATTTTAATTTTTTTGTGGTATTGGGGATCCAACCCAAGTCTTCATGCATGCTAGACAAATGATTTACCATTGAGATATACCCAACTCTTACTTTTATTGTTGTCAAAGTGTAATAGGCACACAATTTAATTAAGTTCAGTAGTACTTCAAGACTCTCCCTTTTCCTATTACCTAAGAAGGAAACAACTACTTTTATCCTTTTTAACTCTTTACGTATGTCTTTCTATATTTTATTTTTAAATTTACTTTTTGTGAGACAGGGTCTCTCCATGTAGCTTGGGCTATACTGGAACTTGCAATTTTCCTGGCTCAGCCTTCCAAGTGCTGGTATTATAGATGTGTACTACCTTGCCTGGCTTTATCCTTCTATATTTTAGGTAATATAATTAGATTATTTCTTTTTCTTTTCTTTTTTGTTATTTATTTATTTGTGGTACCGAGGATTGAACTCAGGGCCTCATAAATGCGAGGCAAACACTAAACCACTGAGCTATATCCCCAGCCTTTTTGTTTTTTCTTGATGTATCAATTTTAGATATAGTTAGATAAATTCTCTTGATTTTAGGCTAAGTCGGCCACTCCTGTGGGGCTGGCTAGCACATGCCTATTGAATAGAGGAGTATTTGTGAGTGATGGAACAAGGTTTTGGCCCTGTCCCTATCAGTGGTTGTTCTCAGCTGACCAGGAGCAGCAGCAGGACCTTCACAGCTAAGGAGTGAACAGGCCTCACAGATATTTCAAAACCAGAAAATGGGCCCTGAGCTTTACCTTCTCAAATCGGGACTCTGCATTTTTCACTAACGTTATCAGCAACTCTCCTGCTGCCTGCTGGGTACAGGGATGTGGCAGATTTTTCAAGCCATCCAGTGTAGTCATTACAAATTGGCAGAGCTCAGTCGGATCCAGGAAAATTTCAAAGACCTAGAATGGTTTAGGAAATAATGAACTTTCAAGAGCTATGCTATGGTTGAAAGAACAGTGAAGGAATACAACTAGATTCTAAGTTAACAGAGGAGTGTACACAGATATGCAAGGCTTTTGACTTCAGTCTTGTTTACTAATGTGGAAAACTGGAAGCAACCCAATGTTCATTAGTAAAGTCTGTGCAGGGCCTTGTTTAGGGAGAACTTTTATCCTAAGACCCTCAGAAAGAGACTAAAGGAAAGGTCTAGTTTTAGATAGGTGACAACATCCTGGTGTGCCTAAAATGCCTCATCAGGAGACAACACTCAAAAAAATGTGTCATTCTGCTTCTTTTTGCACTTGGCAGTGAACAAAGTGATTACAATAGGTACACTTTACTGACACTTACCATTTGACAAGCAAAGTGAAGCATTTTCTATACAACATTCTATTTAACCCTTACAACAACTGAGTTATACCAATTTATACAGAGGAAAGTAATGCACAGGACAACTGAATTACCTGGTACCTTGAACCCTACACAAGTATGATCTATGGGTTTTCCCCCAATCTCTAATATGCCTGTCACCTGACAGATGCATAACTACTAGTTGAATAATGAGTAACTACTTAAAGCATATGGCTTGTTGGCTCAACCACACTCTCTTGCATGGTTTGTGTGTAAGGAGGCTTACTTTACATGTGTAAGTTGCTGGCACTTAGGAAGGCAGAGTTAATTCAAAGAGAAATCCAAAAGTGACACTGTCCTCATTGACACGTGAACCTAAACCACTGAACTAAGAGGAAAGGTGTGTAAGAGTCACGAACATGACTAGTCTAAGACAAGAAGTATGTAAGAGTCTACAAACCATACAGAACACATCCACTGGTCAATATTATAGGTTTAGTTTATAAGAAACAATCAGAATGTTTTCCAAAGAGATGTTTACCATTTTACACAAACAAGCCAATGAAATGTTGCTCCCCACCTTCGCCAACATGTCAAGCCCTCTGACTTTTTCCTTCTAGCCATCCTGATTACCTGGGCAATTTTGAAGGGATGGCGGTAGAAGTGTTTGATACTGTAGAGCTCTAGCAGTTCACGACATCTTTTCAATGCTTTTTTCAAGCTCTGGTGATTTATCTTGTCATGAGTGACATCTAGAAAGAAAATATGAATTGTTATTATAGTCTGGCACATTTGTCTTCTTTATGATTTAACAAGTCTGGTTGATTTCCAGTTTGAAGTGAATCCCAAGATCTTACTGGAACAAAAATGCCTGGGGAAGGGGGCATATGTTAATTTAAAGGCTGATTTGTTTCCCCTTTTTTGTGGAGCAACATAGAAAAAGGACTGAAGGAAAAAGAAAAGAGTTTTTGTAAGATCAGAGCCTTTGACTGATTTGTGAGTACAAATAAGACATGCTTCCTCAGTGGTGAGGGATTTTGGGGGGCTTCCCTATGAAGCTCAGGCCTAACAAAAATTTGATAACTATGTGTCTAGTTTTACTGATTATTGAGTTGGTCAACACTCCTTTATCATCCCTTGTTTTTCTCACATTTTAGTGTGATTTCATCTTGCTGGAAATTTATTCGTGGGACATCTTTGAGCTCTTGGTTGAAGATACCGTCTCTCTTACTAGAAACTAAGTTCCCTGGGGGTAAGGAATCTTTTCTGTCTTGTTTATTTACCAATGCATTCCTAGAACAATAGGGGCTTCGTAAATATTTGTTGAATGAATAATCAATTGCATTTCCTTGCTGTGAATCTTGGTAAGCACTGCTCATACAAGGAGCTGCCTAGAGATGGAATGGAAGCTTTGGGAAAGCACAGAGCTTCCTTATTTGTGGGATGAGTAAGCCGAAGGGCAATGCTGGAGCAGACTAATATTTGAACACTGAGATTGCTGGGTTAGACATCTTCTAAAGTACCTTCTAGCTGGGGAAGTCAATGACTTGTTCCTTTTTCAAAATCCCCTAGCTCACACCTGCTGAGGCTCTTGCTTATGCTGATCCCCCAGCCTGATGTGACTGATTGCTCTTTAGTCTTCAGGTGATCTTCAGAAAGGTCTCTCTGAATCTCATAGCTAGATTCAGTTTTTATCTATGGCCTCTGTAATTTCCTTTCATAACAGTTTTCATTCTTTCTTTTTTGTGTTATTTTGGTGGGACTGGGGTTTGAATTCAGGTTATTGCACCTGCAAAGCAGCGCTCTACCACTTGAGCTACACTTCCAGTTCTCATTATTCCTAATAATAGTCACTTGTCAACTCTCTGTCTGGATTCCCCACTAGACTGTCTGTAGTGCAAGGACTGAGGCCACTTGTGTACTCGTACTCTTGGATCCTAAGTTAAGTACTAAATAAACATTTATGGAATAAATAAATGAAAAAGGCCCAAAATGATGGCAAGAACCTCTCCCACAGTTTTTTTTTTACAGTATTGGGGATTTGAACTCAGAGCCTTGAGCTTGCTAGGCAAGCACCCTACCACTTGAACCATTCCACCAGCCCTAAGAACCTCTCTCATTTCTGACCAAATTAATCACTTAAGCTTGTGTGTGGGGTCACATGGCACTTATGGGTCTGATTCAGTGCTATAATTCTAATGTTTAAGTCAGCATTGCTTCACCTCTACTATGGACTGTGCATCTTTTCTTTATGAAAGTCTTTCTAGAGCATGGGGAAGAAAAGTTGGTGTTTATGTTGTGCTGGGAATTGATTCGGGCCTCAGTGCCTTCAGCAGTGCCTTACACTTAAGCCTGAGGGTGATATGCAGCAGGTAGTGTGTGCCTTCTGCAGCCTCCTCAGCCACCTCTTCCAGTGGGTCCCCACATAGCAGCGCCATCAGAGCCACCAGGTGTCCAAGTCTTTGGAATTGCAAGGGAAGCTAATTGAGAAGGAAAGAGAAAAGTGCCATCAGAATACAGGTTCGTTTAGTGCCTTAAGTTGGAGCTGTTGAGAAGGAATGCCACTTGCACCCCAAACTCAAAAGAAGTACAAGGGTCACATTCAGTCCTTAGGGCTCTGAGGGGTCAGCAGTTAGCATGTAGACATGCTACAGGTACAACATAGCTAGCCAATGGCATTAGACAGTGCAAACCAGCCAAAGTAAACATGAAAAAGAAGAGGCTTCATGTATAAAGATGTTCATTGTAACTCTGATTTTTGTTTTGTCTTGGTGAGACTGGGGTTTGAACTGAGGGCTTTGCACTTGTAAAGCAGGTGCTTTACCACTTGAGCCGCTCTGCCAGCCCATTTTTGGTGTTGGATATTTCCAAAATAGAGTCTCATGAGCTATTGCCTGGACTGGCTTTGAACCATAATCCTTCTACTCTCAGCCTCCAAAGTAGCTAGGATCATAAGTGTGAGCCAACAGCACCTGGCCATAGCACTGTTTTTAAAGACCACATTTTGGAAATAATTGCTCAATAATGGCAAAAGGAATATAGTAACTCTGAATGTGCAATTAGAAATCAAGTAGCTCAGTGACAGAGTCCTTGCCTAGCAGGCACAAGGCTCTAGGTTCAATCCCCAGACACACACACACACACACACACACACACACACACACACACACAAATCAAGTATCTAAGGAATTTATAATACTGGAAAATGTGCTACTCTGCTAAGCAAAAAAAAAAAAAGTACTAAGTAGCACTTAATACCATTCTATTTTAGAAACCTATTGATTGATTATGGAAGAAACATGTAAGGTAGCTAGCAAAAACCAAACCAGAAAGAGAAGTGCATTTAACTTAAAATAGTGAAGAAAATAGGATATATTTAAAAATTTAAGTAGAAAAGATAGATGAAGTTAAAAATGTGGTTAGCATGCAGAATGCATATCTTCCTTTGTTTGAAGGAGGCATAGAACTAGACTCTGAACTGTCTCATGGCTAATGTAGAGATACACACAATGTTCTGTATTATATGATTCCCAATGTCCATAAGCCAAGATGCAAACAGCTACACAGAAGAAGTACAACATTTCCTCAGATTGAGGCAGGAAGAAATTTCTTCCATGGCTCTTTAAAAACACAGTACAGAAATACTGTTAATGCCAACAAGTATGACTTGTTTCCAGTGAACATAGCAACACCTCCACAAAGCTGCACAAGTGATCTTTAACACACTGGAACTATGACTGGCACTAGAGGTATAAGCAGTGAACAAACAGGACATCCCTGCTCAAGCAGGTAACAATCTGTTTGGGAAAACACAAAAGAAATAACTAAAATTTGTTATGTATCCAGTGTTGGTAAATATTATGATACAGAAAATGCAGGGGGGAAGGGATAGGAATTATTATTTTTGAATGATCAGGGAAGTGAGTCATGAAGACTTTTAGAAGAAGAGTGAGTGTTCCAGCAGAGAGAACAAATAGCAAGTGCAAAGGACCAAGAGGGGAGTGTTTGGTGTTTGTGAGGAATAACAAGTAGGCTAGGTTGCTGGAGCAAAGTAAGTGAGAAAAAAGAAAATATGAGGTGGATAGAGAAAGGGCCAAACAGTGTATCAACTTACATAAGGATTTGGGGATTTTATTTTGGGTTATATGGAAAGTCATTAGAGGATTTTGCTCAGAGAAGGGACATGAGCTGACTCCCTAAATATGTGAGTATCTGCCATGTGCTAGGCACTGGGGTACTGTGGTGAGCAAGACAAACACTATCACTGGTGGCATTTATGTTCCATTAGATGGGATCAGGTAATAAATTAATAAAGAAAGGACCTAAGAAGCCCTAAAAAGAAAATAGAGTGATGAGGCAGACAGCAAGGGCAGATATATTAGCAGGTAGCAAAGGCCTTTTCATGGTGGATATGTGTGGACTGAGCACTTTAGAATAAAAAGGGGTTGGCTACTGGAGAGTTGGACAGGATCATTCCCAACAGAGGAAGCAGCAAGTTCAAGGCAAGAGCTTTAGGAGGTGAGGAACCTAAAGGAGGCCACTGTGGTTGGCATTTTTGCATCAGGGAGGCAGGCAGGAACTATCGCACAAGACCTTGTATTCTAAAAATGGGTTGGAAGAAAGAGAAGGGGAAAAAGAAGAGGATGAAGAAAAAGGGAAGGAGAAAAAAAGGAAGAAGAAGGAAAATAAATTAAATAAATAATAAATACAAAGAGAGAAAACAAAAACAAAAGCAAAGGAAAATATGAATCTAAAGGTAATTCTGGCTACATCTAGAGAATCGACTAGAAGGAACTGAAGGGAAGGCCCTCATCCCTGCACTTATGCACAAAACACTACCTGGAAGGGATAACCAACATTGGTGGTGACTATCTCTGAATAACAGTAAGCTAATAATTTTTCTTTCTACTTTCGTCTTCATTTTTTTTTTTTTGGCAGCACTGGGGTTTATCTCAGTACCTCACCTGCTAGGCAGGTACTCTTACCAGTTGAGCCACTCCACCAGCCCTTTTTTGTAATGGATTTTTTTGGAGATAGAGTCTCCCAAACTATTTGTCTGGGACTGGCTTCAAAATGTGATCTTCCTGATCTCTGCCTCCTGAGTAGCTAGGATTACAGATGTGAGCCACAGGTGCCCAGTTTTCTTTTTTCTACAATCAAAAATATTTTAAAAAGTTTTTGTAGCAATTTGAACTGTGTCAGGTATGGAGGTGCATACCTGTAATTCCAGTACTGGAAAGACAAAAGCAGAAGGATTGTGAGTGTGAGGCCAGTCTGGGTTACACAGCAAGTTCTAGGCCAGCCTGGAAAAGACAGCAAGACCCTGTCTCCAAAAAGAAACAAAAAACGCTAATGGAATTGCACACCTAACCTGAGTGGATTTCATTGTACATAAATTATACCTGAATGTAAGAAAAACTATCGACCTGAAGGAGGGCATAGGCTCTGACCTAACTAACTCCATTTTGTCCCTCTCTGGCCCTATTTTTGCCTCTTTAACTCTTTCCCTGTTGTGTGGCTTTCTTTGGCAGTTAACTGAGATTCAAGTAATGATGATAGGACTGATAGATAAACCTCTTTATGACAAGTGACCAAAACCACTCCAAGTGACAACTCACTTTGTGGGATAGATCATTTTACAATGAGATCAACTCCCAAATGAAGGCAATTACCCATGGTGGTGAGTGAGGCTGCATTCAAGACCAGGAGTGTTCATCTCAGGAAAACCAAACTGCTTCCCTCCGATGATGATAGCAATAATGACTTCTCCAGAACACCTTGGGTCAATGAGACCAATGGCTCGACCAAGGTTACTGCTCTTTCAGTTATGCATCCAACTCTCTCCTTTGTTTCCCTTTTCCATAAAATCTTAGAGTTCACATTAGTCCCTTGAAGACATACTTGAGGTCACTGAACCTCTTTATCTGTTCTTTTCAATGTGGCCACATTGATTAAATCCCTTTTCTCTGCCATTCACCACTACTCCTCTCTTTGATTAGCATATTGGATGAGTGGCAGAGCCTAGTCTGTTGGGGCTCCATATAATTTTTGGATACCCCAGTAGCACCAGGTTGAGCACCCTTATACCAGCAACTCTCTCTAGGAAAGAAATGCTGAGGAAGAGTCACAGGACCTGGAGAGAAATTATGTGTACAAAAGAGAGTCATTCAAAACTCTTTTCTCTTTTAATCTGCAGTGGAAGTTAGAGCTTGCAGAATATAGAAAGAAGAAAAATGCATTGTTGTTGGAATAGTAGAGTGATCAGTGATGGCCAGAAGTTGCTGGAGGAAGGAAGTAATATAGTTGGAGGGGCCAATTTAATCCAGCAAGGAGGAAGAAGTTTGGAAAAATAAGAAAGCTAGTGGAATGCTTTCAAATGTGACTGTTAGAACATCTATATCAAGGAGAAATTTTCTGAGGAAGATTCTGGCATCAGCATTTCTATCCCAAAAAACTCTCTTCCGATTCCCAGGCCTTACTATGCAGTTTGGAGAAATGACAGGTAGAGGAAAGAGAAGCCCCAGTGGCTAGAAGACCTGCTCAGGGGAGGGGAAGGAGGATTTGCAGCAGGAAAAAGGAATAGATAGAAGAAGGGATTTTGGTTTGGGGAAAATCTTAGAAGTTACGGGAGAGGACTGAGAACAATTGAGAGACTGAAAGAGAGAAACATGAGGATTTAAAAAGAGGCATTGTGCATCTCTTTGAGATGCTGGGAGATATTTACATTGATTTACTTAAATTTACCTGCTGGACTTCATTTCTTCAGATACAACCTGCATAGATACTAGGCCACTGTTGGACCTCAGACATTTTCAAATTATACTTATACATTCATTTATTCAAAAACATTTACTATATGATTATATTCCAACTGTCATAAGCAATGGGGATGCAAAGATTAGCAAACACAGTACCCAGACTCAAACTGCTCACATTTTAGGAGAGGGGCAGACATGTACATAATGCTGAGTGCTGACACTACTTAAGATACAGAGCCCAGGCTGGGAATCATAAATAGAAGGGGAAAAAGGCAGTGGAAGGATGGCTTTGGATCCTTTTTCCTCATCCACAAAGGGCTGCTCACCTTCAGACTGAGATTTCTGGATAAGCACTTGAGAACTTGGGCCATGCTGGCTGTGGCCCGTTCCCGCTCATGGTCATTGACTGACTGTAACCAGGGGTCCATGTGCTATAAAAAGTAAAGGTAGGTTAAGTGGTTTATCAGGGAGATTGGAGGTAACACCACTACTCTGATTGTTAGAAAAAAATGGAGAGAGAAGTTCCACACTACTTTTATGTCTGAATGACCTGCAATAAGAAACCAGTTTGAGCTAGGGTTGATAAGCGAGGCATAAGAACTGGGTGGTCAGGAGATCTGGTTGCTACTGAAGCTTAATTTCTAGACTTATTTACCTTCACCCCCCAACTCTTCAACTAATTATCCTATTCTTTTGTATGCTCTTAGCCCTTTCAAATCTGCTTTGGAAAAAATAAAATTAATAATGTGTTATTAAAAAATGATGGGGAATGGATAAATTGCATCTACTTGGTCAGAGAAGGACTCAGAGATGATAACACTCCACAAGTAGGAGCTCATAAAGAAGTAGGTTTTAGGCAGAAGAAACATCTTGAATTAAGCTGCCAGGGCAGGAAATACAAAATACAGTGGGATAAAGAGGAAAGCTGCAACCTGGCTGGAGTGTTAATGTACAAATAGAAGAGGAATGAGAAACACAATGTCAAGGTCAGTTATGGCAAGGATAAATGCCCATCTGCACTCAGGTGCACATGATTACTAACAGCTTAAAGGGTTATCCCTTTTAGGGATATTTACATCTAAAAAGGGCAAGAGACCAGATATTTGAACGGTAGTAAATACACACCAATGACTAAATCCCCATTGGTGGCTGAAATATACTAGACAGCTACACGTGGGGGCAGGTAATGATTTTCCACTTTTGAGTCCTAGCTGGTAGGAAGCTGCCTATTTACTAACTTATGAGGCTGATTCTGGTCCCTGGCTGAAACCCTTCTATGCTAGGAATGGTCAATAAGGAATAGTTATAGAACCTTTTGAAACATTTATTGAAGCCAGTTATTCATACTCACAGTAAGCTGGGCATGGTGACACATGCTTATAATCCCAGTACTCAGGAGCTAGGCAAGATAATTGAGAGTTTGAGTACAGCCTAGACCCCAAATGAGTTTGAGATCTATAGAGCTAGACCCTGTCTCAAAAAAAATCATTAACTCTATGGAAAGGTGAGGAAATGAGACTCTGTGAGAACAAATTTCTTGAAGAATACGTAGCAGAAGGACTTATAACCAATAAATGGCAATCAGAATTTGAGCCCAAACCTCTGACGCAAAGCTGACAGCTGCCTCACAGCTACTGTGTTGCCTCCTACAACTTAATGCTTCTACATTTTTTTCTTCCACTTTCATCAGTGAATAGGAATAGTTTCCCTTCTCCTCTGATAATCTTGTTTACCTTAAAAATGGTGTCAAGATTTTCCAAATGTGGGTCTTTTATCACCAAACTCTGTAGCATCTCAGAGAATGCTTGGAACGTCTGCCTGTAGAGACACTGAAAAGGGATAGGATTGGTGATTATCCTCCCCACAAAGTTCTCCAAGCACCATGCACTTCTAAGGCTCTTATCATCATTGTGAAACTTTCCTCAAAGGTCAGACCCAGAGTAAAAGTACCTGTGGACAGTTTGTGGCATGAGCTGAACCAGAATACTTGTAATACTACTTCTTTCAAATAGAATACTACTCAAATAGAATACTTTCAAAACAGAATACTACTTCTTTCAAATGGACAGCTCAGCATTCCTGGAATCATGGCTGACTGATTCTGTCTGGGGAACTACACAGGGCTATCAAGAGACGTGTAAAGTTGACTGTGGCTCTTTCTGATGTCTTGAGACAGAGGGCAGTCAGTCTTTGGTAATGGCCTTCCCAGTTAGGTTAGCAACCTAGAAGAGAGTGAGGCCTCTGCACTCACTTCTCTCTCTGCCTGGAATCTTTCCTCTCTCTCCTTTCAAAAGCTTTCACTGACCACTCAGTTTTCAACTGAGTTTCCAACCACAGCACTATTTTGCATCTTCTTTCTCTTGATACTTCAGTGGTTTGTCTCTCTGCACTAAACTGTCAGCTCCATGAATGAGAATGTGTACTGCTTATTCAATGCTTAGGAAGCACATGGTGGCCCTTAAAGAAGTATCTGTAAAAGTTGGGCATGGTGGCACCTGCCTGTAATCCCAGCACTTGGAAGGGTGAGGTAGAAGGATCACAAGTTCAAAGCCAGCCTGGGCCACACAGCAAGACCCCGTCTTTAAAAAAAAATCCAGGCACTGGTGGTACACACCTGTAATCCTAGTTACTGGGAAGGCCACCAGCACACAGACATCAGGAAGCACATGGTTCAAGGCCAGCCTGGGCAAAAAAGATTGCAATGGATCCAACCTGCCATTGCTATTACAGCGGGAAGCATAAATTAAAAGGATCATGGTCCAGATCAGCCTGGGCAAAAGGCAAGACCATATCTCAAAAAATAACCAGAGGAAAAAGGGTTGGAGGCATGGCTCAAACCTTAAAGCACCTAGCAAGCACAAAGCTCTGAGGTCAAATCCCAGTACCATCAAAAGAAAAAAAAAAAATCCTAGAAGACAAAAAAGCCACAAATACACACACACACAGGAATACCCCCATCTCATTCTAAAGCCAAAGGAAAAATGAAAGAACACAGATTAAAGGGGGAGGAAGGTGTTATCTAATTTAACCACTTATTTTATTCACGAGACTTAAATGATTTTTTGGTTAGTTTAAAAAAAAAGTGCTCTCAAAAAGCTTAGATCAGCTGACCCTGTAGATGGGACGCTAAAAAAGCAAAATGCGAGTGACCTCTGGATTGTGGGACTGGTTTGGCGTGGCCTCCTGCAGCTGGATAAGAGCGCTCACAGACGGCAGAGTGATCACACTTTTGGTGATAAGACCAAGCAAGTCATCTCGATCTTCAGAGCCAAACAGCAGGTGAACATCTTGGTAACTAAGGAAAGACAGTTCGGAAGAACAAGGTGAGAGGGGGACAAAGTACTTAAAAAGGGAAAGGTAGACTGGTTAATGGGCCAGCAGATGGGTCATCAGTCTTTTGGATGAGTCACAAAAGGTGAGAGGAAGAGTTTCCCCCCACGAAGTTATGGGAAGGATATATTCTTCCAGGCTCTCCTCCAGCTCAGCCACAGAGGGAAGCCAAAAATTTCCAAAGGGTGCCCTGCTGAATGGTAGTTTGGGAACCGGTAAATGTAATTAAGACCTTAACGAGAGGACATTTCAAAACTTCACATGAGTTTATACTAAATATAAACTCATATCTTCAGGAGAGGTAAATAGCAGGCAGATCTTGGAACTTCTGAGACGAAGCATGTGTGGGAGTCACTTTCCACTGAATATACTTTGAACAAAACTATGCCAAAGAGGTTCTGGCAAGGTCTTTCAAATATTGATGAGAAAATATATGAAATCAAAGTTCTCACACTGAAACATGGACTGGCCTCCCCTTCCCTATCTAAATAGTTTTAAGAGGTTAAAATACGGGATGTGTCAGTTGGGTCTGGCATTGACCCTGACTGAGGAACAGGATGCATGTGTCAGGTGCATGTGGATGTCACCTGAGGTCAGTGATGGTGACAAAGATCTCCTGGCGCACGGGGCTAGATAGAGAATGCCGGGACTCCTCTTGCATCAGCACCTGCAGTGAGGGAAAAAACTTTAGAGTCGAGAATGTACCACCCCATGTGACCAGAGATGGTCGGAGATGTAGATGGCCATCAAGAATAGCAGCAGGCTAGTCAGGCAGCCCTGTTTTTGGCTCTCTGGGATGGTGGCAGGATGGTGGCATGATGGTGGAGGAGCTAGGAACTTATTCTGTGGAACCAGACCCCAGGCTCTTATTAGCTGTTTGAGCTGACTCAAATTAGTAAGTCTCTCTGTAACTTAGTTTCCTCATCTGAAAATGGGATAACAGTACTACTTACCTTCATGGGTAGTTGTGAGTACTAAATTTGCTAATTTTAAATACCTAGCAATTGTTAGTGTCATTTATTTACTTATTTTGGTGTTACTAGGCCTGAACCCAGGGCCTTGAGCTTGCTGGTATGTGCTCTAACACTTAAGCCATGCCTTCAGTCCTTTTGCTGTGGTTATTTTTTAGGTAGGCTCTCATGTTTTTGCCTGGGTGGCTTTGCAGTAAACCTTCTATTTATACCTCTGGTATAGCTGTAATAACAAGCGTTTACTACCATGTCTAGTTTAATTGATTTGAGGTCTCGATAACTTTTTGTCTGGCTGGCTTCAAACCATGATCCTCTTGACCTTGCCGGAGCAGCAGGGATTACAGTAAGTCACCATGCCCAGTCTTATTTTTTTCCTCAGCAGTACTAGGGTTTAAACTTAGGCCTTCATACTTGCTAGGCAAGTGCTCTACCACTTGAGCCATGACCCTAGCCCTTTTTTGCTATAGTTTATTTTTCAGGTAGGGTTTTGAGCACTGTTGCCTGGGGCTAGTCTTGAACCATGATCCTCCTGATCTCTGCTTCCCGCTGGTATTACAGGTTTGAACTACTACCCCTGGCCCTGTTATTATTTTTATGACTAGTGATTATTTCTAGTTTAGGCATTCCAACTTCTCTCCCTACTAAATCAGTCATCTATAGTATCATGCCTAATGTCATTCTGAGTTGCTTATCCTGGAAAAGAAACAACTTTACAGCTTACAAATTGGCAGAGGAAGACCTGTCTTCCTATGCTGGGAAAATCTGCAGAGCTATAGAGAGGGAACAACACGAGCTTTGGGGACAGAGGACACTGGGTCTGAGCACTGGCTCTCCCAGTCACTCATCTCATGATCCTGGGTCTATTATTGAACTTCCCATAGAGGGAATGAGACCTACGCAGAAGTTGGTGTGAGGAGCTACTGTCAATGTCACTGCCATGTGAATGCAGTGAAGCCTCATTAAGTTGGACACCCCACCTCTCTGGGAACTAAGCCCACAGGAATGGTCACCTCACAGCTACGTTTCTGCTGTAGCATTCTGTTCTACTGACCATAGCTCAGCTGTCCAAGGCCAGTTAGATTCTCTCTCTCAGGAATCTGGAATTGGGACCAATCTTTCTGGATAGTCCTCTGAAAGCAGAAAACTTAACAGTTGGGTACCCTAGTCCTTAAGGTCCAGGTAAAAGAACTGGTTTTAGAAAGGGGGAAGAGAAATGGACATGCCTGCAAAGGAGCAAAGAGAGGAGATGGACAGAAAGTCCTCAAGCATATGAAGTGGAGGCCTCTTAGCATCTACCTTCCTTCTCTTCCTGGGGCAGGCTGCTCCTCCTATCATGGAGTTCTGGGAAACACAAAGTGAGTATTGGATCAAATCTCCCTTTTTGTATTTCAGTTGCCTGTAGGGGATTTCTCCTCACAGAGAGACCTCACTAAGAACTCAGGAGGCAGGAAGTACTCAGTGAATATTACCCAGCTTCCTATTTAAGCTTTTATCTTCTGACCTTTGAACTCAGATCTTGCTGGTGACCTGTTGCCCTTCTTCCTTCTTTCCTCTAGAAGCTCATTTATCTTTACGACTTTATAGCCTGCAAGGGACAAAGCACTAGATTGTCTTTAGCTTTCACAGCTCTCCCAGTGTCTTCTTCACAGTTTACCAGTCTCCTAATCTCCAGGGTACTACCACTACATCACAGCCAGAACTAACATTATCCTCCCCTCCAAAGGACACAACTTCCTAGCCTTCAATGGTTGTCAGTGATGCCCTTCTCAGGGCTTACAACAAAGATAACTTATGACCTTTGTCTTTTGTTCACTCTGCAGTTTCTGTAGTTCTTCCCTTCTGCAGTCACATACCTCTCAGGGAACCCCCAAGTCTACAATCCCTTCTGACGTCAATCTATTTGCCCACCTGTGCCAGAATGAGTTTTTTGTTTCCTTTTTCTAATCAGTTAGGGATTACTTTTCATTCAATCACAATTATGCTAGTCACTACAGGGATTCAGATTGTGGGGCTATTTTTTGCTTTTGAAGTATTTGTACAGTAGAAATTTCTTGGGCTGATTTCCCAGATCACATCAATAATTCCTTCTCCCTGGGAAGGCCACCAGCACACAGACAGGGAAGTCCAGCATTATTATTTGATTCTGCCTCAGACACAGCTGGTGGCAAACAATTCCCATTGGGGTCAATCAATTTTTAAAATTTATTTATTTATTTATTTATTTTTGTGGTACTGGGGATTGGACTCAGAGCCTTGCACTTGCTAGACAGGCACTCTACTTGAGCCATGTCTCCAGTTCTTCATGCTTTATCTTTTTTTTTTTTTTTTTTTTCCTAGATGAAGTCTCATGCTTCTGCCTGAGCCAAACATGGACTGTGATCCTCCTGCCGCTACCCCCTGAGGAGCTGGTATTCACATGCACCGCCACACCTAGCCAATTGAATTCTTTCTTGTAGAATTTGGAATTTTAGAGTGACACAGACTGGGAGCTGCTGGAGGTTTTAGACACAGTGCCTCCAGAGCAGTCCTTGTCTTTGAGACACTAGGAGCTGTCTGGAATTGGCTCTTCTGAAGGCTTGATGGTTAAACCCCTTCCTTAGATTCTAACAGAGGTAGTTCAACATTCTTTTGTTGTTCTTTTGAGAAAGGGCCTTGATTTGTAACCTTGGCTGGCCTGGAACTCACTACTTAGCCCAGGGTGACCTCAAAATCTCAATCCTCCTGCCTCAGCCTCCCAAGTGCTGGAATTAGAGGTGTGTTCTACCATGCCTAGCTCATTGATTTTGTTGTTGTTTTTGCTTGATCCAAGAACAATCTAATCAATCCGCAAAAATGAGACTTTTGTTTCAAAGGTCTCAAAGAAATCCAGATAAATATTAATACCTCCATTTTACAGGTAGAGCTACTGAGGTTGAAAGAAGCTAAGTGATTTGTCTATGATAGGCTGGGTTTTGTGGAGGACCCAGAATAAGGTTGGAGTCCCAGACTATCAGAGGAGACAAAAGAGGCACTGAAGACCAACCAGTCTTGATGGTTATTAAAATGTCAGTGGGTCTTGATGTTTGTGTCTGATTTTGGATCACAATAAATCATTCCTGTAATCTTTCTACCACATCACAGGATACAGGCCCCACCTTTGGCATAGACAGGTAGTACCCTCCAGCTTACTATACAAAGTCCCCATCCAGTGGCCCCTTAGTTCTCTTCTTTCAACCTTATCCATCACATCTTTCAAGACTTAGATCAAGAGGTCTACCTGGGTTAATTTTGCCCAATCTTGTCATCACTTTATTTCCCAGGTGCCACTGTAGTCTCACTTCTCTTTTTTATTAATGTTCTGGATAGATTTTTTTTATAAAAAAATTTTTTTTTAATTGGAAGACAGGTTTTCTCTGTGTTGCCCAGACTGGCCCTGAATTCATGTGCACAAGTGATCCTCTGCTTCATTCTCCCGAGTAGCTGGGATGATAGCTACTGCACACAGTTTCAACAGATTTTTTAAAATAGCTTTTTAAATTTTGAGATAGCAGCCATAGACAATAAACTGTACCTACTTAAAGTGTATAGTTAGATGACTTTTTAACTTTTATGCAGCCACAAAACCATCACCACAATGGAGACAATGAATTTTGGTCATTCCCAAAAGCCCTGGTGCTACTTTGTAATTCTTCCATCCTGCTCTCCCCACTCCATGCCTACACCTCCAGGCAATCATGATCTACACATTAGTTAGCATTTTCTACAGTTTTATAAGTGGAATCATACAGTTTTACCTTTTAGGGTGAAAGGTCAGGCTTCTTTAACTCAACATAATTATTCTGGGATTCATCCAAGTGGTAGCAAGTATCAAAAGTTCATTTCTTTTTATTCCTGTCAGTATTCCTTAGATAGATATATCATAGTTTGTTTACCCATTCATCTAATATGGACATTTGGGATGTTTCTAGTTTTTGGCTCTTCCATACAGTGGCTATGAATATTTACCTACACATCTTCATATGTAAACATGCTTCATTTTACCTAGGAGTGGAATTGCTGGGTTATATAGTAGGTATATATTTAGCTTCTTAAGAAACTGTCAAACTGTTTTCCAATTGATTGACTATTCCACATTCCCATCGACAATGTATGAGAGCTTTAGCTTTTTCATATCCTCACTAACATCTGATATTAGTGTTCTTTTTTATTTTGGCTATTCTCTAGTAGGTATTTATTTGAGTCTTATTGTGATTTTTAACTTGCTTTTTCCTAATCACAACGATGGAGCATTTTTTCATGGGCTTGATTATAAATCTTCTTTGATGAGTTGTCATGAAAGATTAGTTTCCTTTCCTTCATGCATTCAAAGCCATGTTCTTGGCTTTACTATTTGGATATTGAAGAGCTATGCATCATTGCTGGTCATGAAACGTGGGCAAATGCCTTGGATTCCTTCTCTGTAGTAACTCTGACTACTCCTTCCTTGGAAGTCCCTCAAAGAACTGCTTCTTCTGTTGGTCACCTGTGCTTCTGATTGCTGGGAGTCTGCTTTTTCAGCCCACGCACTTGGGCTTGTAGGGAGTTTGTAGACTTGACAATCCATGTAGTTTTCTCACAGACACTAGCTAACCTTAAACTGAAGCCCTTGCCAGCCCATACTGTGATGATACTAGACGTGGGCATGCTACTACTGGATGACTGGATCCACATGCAGAGCATGGGCAATTCAGTGTGTGTTTTCTTTTTGAGATTCATACTAGTGGGTTTTTGGAGCTAGCTGATTGAACCACGTGGCAACCCACTGCTGCCGATTCTGGTGGAAGTAAAACTTTGGAAACAAGTTTCTGGATCCTATGGCTGTCTATAGCCAAGCAGAAAGCTGCAGTATTTCCTAAATTTGCATTACATCATTTTGAGCTTCTTCATATAGTATGGTTCTCAACTTACTAAGTGTGGCTATTTCCAGTTGAACTCTGAACTCTTGGAGGACAAGGATTAAAGTTTCCAGGAAATTAGTTACGCTATCAAAACACCATAGTGTGCTAGATATAGAACATTCTTGATAACTGTTGCTTGACAAAACTGTTATCTGGTCAGCCTTCAATTTTAAAAACTAATTATCAGTCAGGCACTGGTGGCTCATGCCTATAATCCTAGCTATGCAGAAGGCAGAGATCAGAAGGATTGTGGTTTGATGCCAACCTGGGAAAATAGTTCTCAAGATCCTATCTCAAAAAAAAAAAAAAAAAAAAAAAAACCCTATCACAAAAAAAGGGCTGATGGAGTGGCTCAAGTTGTAAGAGCACCTGCCTAGCAAGCATGAGGCCCTGAGTTCAAATTCCAGTGCCACCAAAAAAATAAATAAGTGAAAAATAATTACCAGTCTAAACAGCCCTACAGATCTCTGAATTGAGAAAGAACTGCTTGTATTCCTGGAATATATAACATATATCAGGGCTGGTAGAGTGCCTACCTAGAAAGTACAAGGCCCTGAGTCCAATTACCAGTACTGCAAAAAAAAAAAAGTCAAAATTTCAGAATTTTAAGAGAAACTGAAGGGGGCATTTCATAATGCGAAAATGAAAGCACCAATAAGTTAAGTGCATGCTTAAGTGCATCACTCCTTCTGAATCTTTTGACATGGAACTGACCACTCATTCACTCCTTTGTGACCCCCTGATATACTCATTTAAACTTTGGGGACTAGAGGTGTGGCTCAAATGGAAGAACATTTGCTTAGCAAGCACATAGTCCTGAGCTCTAACACCATTACCCCCAAAACAAACAAAACTTTTGGCACAGAGCCTGTGGCTCTTGATTATACCTTGCTTATCTGCAGGGACAGAGATTATGTCTTCTTTGTGCTTGTGTCCTCAATTCTCGGGACAGTGTCTGGAACTAGCAGGCACTTATTAAGGGACTGAATGGATGAGTTAGTGACAGTGTTGTTGGAGTAAGTACAAATGAGACAAAATAAAATAATGACAACATAATCATATTTCTCAAATATAACTCGTGTTAGAGGGCCATGTGACATGCCTTACATTTCTTTTTAATTTAATGTTCGCAATAGCTCTATGAAGCAAACATAGCTATTCTTATTTTATAGATGAGGAAACCAAGGCATTAAGAAGTTAAGTAATTTCCTAAAGTCACATAGCTATAAAGAGGCTGACATAGCCTTTGAACCCAGGCATTTGATTTTCAATTCTGCTTCCCTCCCCACCTCCCCAAACTACTGCTTAAGTAATGAGAAGACAGCATTGGTCTTACTAAGAAATTTAAATCTATTTCTCTCCTTTTCACTCCTCTTTGAATTGGCTTCCGGGGATGATTACGTTTGTAGGGTAGCTCTGAGTATTTCTCCTTTATTTAAAAATACTGATATGACAGGAGGTTTAAGAATTGATAACATGGGTGAAACTACTAAAAATTTATTGGCCAAGTCACTGAGTTTGTGTGGTCCAATAATTCATGACAAGATCACAATACTTACATTTAGGATATGTACAATTTCGGCTATGTGGCTGTGAATAAATGATTCTGTGCTTTCATCATACAGAAAAGTTTGGCTGAGTGAAGACAGAGATCTTAGGAAAGTCAGCTTTTCAAGTTCACCCTGAATGTGTGGAAAAATGATAAAAATATAATTATACATTATCATCATACTTGAAAAGTGTGGAGGGCTTTTGAAAAGTTGCTTGGAATGTTTTAAGTATCTGGCATCTCATTCCATCCAGTATCAATTTTTTATTATACAGAATGAATTATAGAGGGACTTCAGTGAAATTCCTTTCCATTGGGCCTGCCTGGGTTTGAGACCTTGCTTCCCTCTTGGCACTGGGTTAGTAAGTGCTCCACGGCTCTCCCCGCCTTTAGTCTTTACTTCCCCACCTACCTACCCTGTAGAGTGCTGTCAGAGTAAACTTCCTGAAGTTTCTTGAAACTTCTCTAATGCTGTTACTTCTAGGTCTCTTAATAGCATTGAAAATTCATTATTTCTAGTCCTTATAAATGCAAGTTCTGATTTGAAGAATACAATCTCTTTTTGTATCGACATTCTTTTTTTTCTGGTTATAAAAACAATATCTGTTTATCATAGAAACTTTGCAAAAATAAAGTATAAAGAAGAAAATATAAGACAATATAATTCCACTTGAGAAGGACTTAAAAAATTTCTTCCAGTTTTTCTCTCCATCTACATACAGATGTTGTAAACTGGTACAAGTTCTCTGTGGAGCAAGTAGCAATACATAGCAAGAAGCAGTTTTCATCACCTCATTATCTCTCACATGGACAGGTAGGACAGCCATCTAACAATGGATTGCTTGCTCCAAATTTTGCCCTCCTCCAATTCATTTCCCCAACTGTAGCCAAATGCCTCTTTTTCAAATGAAAATGTCATTAAGTAACTCCCTATCTACAGTCTTTCAAAAGCACCATGAAGGTCAAGGGCCTTTCCAATTTGGGCACAACAGACCTCTTCAAATCATCTCTTGGAGCTGGGCGCCGGTGACTCACGCCTAAAGTCCTAGCTACTCAGGAGGCAGAGATCAGGAGGATCGTGGTTTGAAGCCAGCCTGGGCAATAGTTTGTGAGATCCTATCTTGAAAAAACCCATCACAAAAAAGGGTTGGTGGAGTGGCTCAAGATGTAGACCCTGAGTTCAAGCCCTAGTACTGCCAAAAAAAATCATCTCTTAGCTTGCCCTTCAGTATTCTGAGCTCTAGAAGAATGAACTTTCATTCTGCTTGTTCTTGTTTCTGGGCTTCTGCATGTTCTGATTTCTCTACACTTCTTCTTCCTACTGTCTAAAACTCTATGTATTTTAAGACTTGGTGCCCTTCTCTAAGTTACTCCATATTGTATACAACAGCCCTGAGTAACTCCATTTTATAAAATAGCAGTTTGCTCCATTTTGAGTGCAAAGGCTGAGCCAGAATCACTCTGCACCTTGTTTGTGCAAGTAAACAACCACCATCTGTCCAGAACAAACTATGAGGCAGAGTGACAAATAACTTTTTTATGAAAATAAAATACTAACAATTATGAACTTATCAAATTAAATCAGAATACATGGAAACATGGGTGTATCAAAACCATATCCAAAAAACCAGTTCTGAGCTTATTGAACATACCAGATCAATAAATCATACAACCCCCTCACCTATACCATATAACATTGGGGTACAGTGGCACCCACCAACCCATCAGACCATATGGTACACGTACAATGGGATCAACAGGTGATCTGTTGACAGGTGACAAACTCCCAACTTTGTCTCAGGGGCTTTAGCTCACACAATTGCCCTGCTTGAAGTATGGCCCAAGCTGCATTAGTCTGGTCCTAGTAAGCCCAGAACCAGCACTGTGCCTGAACATCTCTGTGCCTGGGTTTGTTAATATCTGACTACCTGCAGTGATTTTCATCTGTAGAAGCTCTCTAGTCTTGCCTTTGAACTCTGTAAAGTAAGGCCCTTTGAACTCTGCAGCCACTTTAACCTTTTTCTTTTCTTTTTTTTGAATATAAAACTATTTATTGACCACTGTTCACCATTATTTACAATAAAGTAAACAATATACAGTTAGATAACATTTTGATTACTACAAAGTTGCTTTCCTGGCTTCTGCAGAACCAGTAACCCAAATGCTGCAAAGATTGAGCCTAATGTAAGGAATGAGTCTGGGGAAAGAAAAAGCATGCAGGTCAATTTATAAAATTTTCAAATTTATGCCAGCAGGTCCTAAATTGCCGGTATTTCTAACCAGCGGATTACATTTGCATGAGCGACGTCTGAGATATTTCATGATTCCTAAACCTTTTAGGATAGATTTCAACTTTCTGTAAAGGAATTGCTCCCTAGAGGAACCTTTAAATGTGTACTTAAGTCTTGTTTAGCTAATTAAAACAAACCAGGATTTGTCTAGTTTCCTCATCTGGCTGGGGAAGTTTTTGGTACTGGTAATAAGGAATTTTGCAAATAAACTATTGTATTTATGCGTCTATAGAAAACCAAAACAAGCCAGATGTGGTGATATATGCCTGTAATCCTATGCCTGTAATCTCAGCACTTGGATGGTGGAGACAGGAGGATTTTAAGTTTGAGGCCCAGTAAGACTATCTTATCTCCAAACAAAAAGAGAAAAGGCTGGGGTTGAAGCCAAGTGGTACAGCACTTGCCTACCATACTCAGGGCTCTGCCTTCAATCCCCAGCACCTAAAACCACCTCCAAAACCATGTAAATATTTTATGTATGTGCCAACACAAACAAAAAGCCCAGAATGGTCCTTTGACATACCAGTTAAAAGATAAGTTCTGATTAATGAATGTAAAATTTACCTAACATTAAAGCTATTCTCAAATGCAGAGGAAATATACCATGGTATCAAATAGTCTTTTCTGATAAAGGAAGCAAATACAGAAAGCTTTTGTTTTATCTGTTCAAAGTAACCAGTGCTATTGATGCAAAAAACAAAAACAAAATACCCAACTCCCCCAATACTACTTTCAAAACCAACATACCAAACTTGATTTTCATTAGAATGTGGTTATCTTTTTCATACTAGTAATTCAAAAACCAAGACTCAGTCAGATTTTATATATATGTATAAATATATATAAAAAACAATGCAGACAATTATTGAGCTTCATCTGGACAAGAATGCCAAGTTAGTCTCTCTTCATAAAACGCAATTACAATTTGAGGACACTTCATATTTGCCTCTTTTGCCAGCACCAAGTCTGCTTCATCTGAATCTTTCCATTTCATGAGAAACATCAATTCTCCACTGCTGTCTGTGGCACCAAGACCTCTAGCAAAGCCTCTTGGTTTGTCAGCAGCATCTCTTTTCTTCTTTGACTTGCTATCATCAGATTCACTGTCAGATAAAGATTTTCTTTTTGTACCATCTTTTTCTTTACCAGCTTTTTGAGAATTAAGAAATGCTTCAATTAACTCTGGACAATCTAAATTTTCTTCAGGCTCCCAAGTATTGTCAGCATCTGTAAATCCCTTCCACTTCAGGAAATACTCCCCTTTCCCATTTACTACACACTGGTCCAGTACTTTTTCCACCACAAATTCTTCAGGTCTGCCTCTTCAACTTTTTTACTTTTCCATTCTATTTTTTTCCCATTTTTTGCAAAGTAGTTTTATTGGAGGCCATTTTCAATTGCAGACTTGAAGAGCTATTGCTCGGATGCTCCGGCCTGTGTGCCTCCAGCTCAAGTCACCCACTTTAACCTTTTTCTTAGCCATTAAGTACAATGTGTGATCTGAGAGTTAATGTTAGTAATTTAGATTGGAATAAGATAACTTGTGTTTCCCAATGGCCACGAATACCAAGCATACATGAGTACACTGCTATCATGGTATTTGGGATACTCTGATATAATTACTGTCTATTCCTGTTAAGGAAGGGAATGGACTTAAAAATTTTTTATTAGTATATAGTAATTGTATAAAATAATGGGTTTCATTATGACATTTTCATACATGCACATAATGTACTTTGTTCATATTCACCCTTATTCCCCTCTCTTGTCCCCACTCCCAGACTTTTAATTCACTGCAGTAATCCAAATCCTTTATTAATTATAAAGAAATTTTTTATAAAACCTTAATGACATGAAGTATAAAGAATAGTCCAAGTCAAAAGTGAAGACCAACATGTTAACTTTAGGTGTTTTGCTGCTTTTATTTTTTTAATTAGCATCATACATGCAGAAAATGTAGAGTTTGGTGAAATTTCATAAACCAAACACCCATACCAGTAAGACAAGATTATTACCAGTATTCCAGAAGCCTCTCTCCTGCTCTTTCCCAATGAAGGATCTATAGTTTTATACTGTAAATTGACAAATTATGGTTGTACATATTTATGGGGTACAAAGTGATGGTATAGTTAAGTATTGTACATAAAACTGACCTTTTGGAGGGAGCATATGGTTCTACGAACTCTAACAGGTATGCATACATTTTACCATCACCACAATCAGAATACAAAACAGGTCTATCACCCCCAATTTTCCCTCATACATCCCCTTATAATCTACCCCCATCCCTACTGATCTGATTTCCATCGCTGTAGCTGTGTCTTTATGAGAGTGTGGCATAACTGGAATCATGTAGTAGGCAGCCTCTTGTGGTTGGCTTCTTTAACTCAGCATAATGCCTCTGGGACCCATCTAGGTTATTGTGGACATCAATAGTTTATGCCTTTATTGCTGAGTAGTAGTTAGTACTCCATTTGTAGATGTGCACAGTCTGCTGACTGGTGAACAGACTTCCATCTTACCATGTCAACTTGTTCCTAGTGTCTAGTACAATGACCTGTGAATAGTAGGTGCACATCCATTCCTTGTTAACTGGCTGGATGAGATTTAAAAGCTCTATGGAAAGTGAAATCACTGGGAAAACCAACTATAAGGAAGTTACTATAATAATTTCTTCTCATAAAGGTCCAGGGCAAGCTAACTACTTCACAGTCAGATGAGAGATATTAAGATATAAAGCTAAAGCAAATGGATCCCCTTCTCACCAATTAGACTGGTAAAGATTACACACAAAAGTAGGACTAAGGGCGTAGCTTAGGGGTAGGGCACTTACTTGCCTAGCATGTGTGAGGTCCTAGGTTCGAGTCTCTGCACCACAAAAGGAAACAAAAAGCTTATTTTGGATAATTGTAAGCCTACTGGCACTTAATATATTTTATTGATAAGAGTATAAATAGGGGTTACATTCTCAGGAGATAATTTATCAGTTCTTACTGAAAGCTTAAAAAAGGTACATATCCTTTGATTCATCAATGTTATATCCTAGAGGAATCATCTAAAGGGTGATTCCACAGAAACCCACATACAAGAACATTTGTTAACTACATGCTCATGGCCCTGGGTTTTATCCCCAGCACTTAAAAAAAGATTCAACAAATTATAAGAATAAAAAAAAAATACTAGAAAGAACCTAAATGGCTAACAATGGGGTACTGTTCCTACTTTTTTTTTTCCTTCATTTTTCAGTGAGTGATAGGAATCAAACATAAGGCCTTACACATGCTAGGCAAGTGCTTTACAACTGAGTTACATCTCCAGTCCTTTATCCTAGTTCTCAAGGTCTAACAGTCTGCCCCTGCCCATCTCTTCAGCTTCACCTTGCACCACTCTCCCCCTTAAACATACCAGGCTTCCTTAAGCTCTGCTCCTCAGGCATGTTGTACTCCTTTTTTTAATCACAAGGTTGTTAAATATCTCATTTCCTACTTCCAAAATGCTACCCCCAATTCTAACATCTAGTTTCTCCTTTCGTTGTTCAGATCTGAGCTCAAGGGTAACTTCCTCAGAGGTGCCTTCCTTGACCCCCAGTTCAAGATTAATTCTTCTGTTATGTGCCCTCACAGGATGTGTGAATGAGTGAACTTTTCACCTCAACGATGGAATGTTGTGCAGCAACTAGATAGGACAATGTAGATCTATAGTTATTGACCAAGACCATCTGTTTTCTCCCACTGTATATGAGTTTTTGCTATTTGTATAGACAACCACATATAGTAAAAAATCATATATACCCAATCATATGTATATATATATATATATATATATATATATATATATATATATATACCAAAATGTTAACAGTTGTTATCTGAGGATAGTGGAATTGGAGAAGATTAACTTTTAATTTTTACTATGATTTTGTTTTTATATGAACTTTATCATTTTTATAAATATAATATGTAAATATAAATTATAAATATAAAACTATGAGTTAATTTTATAGCTCAAAAATTTATATGCTAAAGAAATAATATATGTTCAAAACATTTGTTAGCATGGAGAAATAAATTGGGTTGGTTACAAAGATTGCTATACATACCTTTAGCTTACCATGAAAAACTTCTTGGATGGACTGAACCAGACTCTCAACAATAGTTTCACTGAGGGGCTCCTGGCAAGTCAGGTGTCTGAGGCTATCTGTGAGGGACTCCCGAGGGAGTCCAGGGATATCAGGGATGTCCAAGTCTAATACTGAAAGAAAGGAACCACATTATACCTCCACAGCATGTAAAATGATAGTTTAGTGGGGAGAACCACTAGATATCAGATCAGACAGCTTTACTGCCTGCTTGACAGCCTTCCATTTTCCCTTCCATTTTCAAGTCTCACTTTTCTCAAATACAAATTTAGTGTTCTTTAAAGACCTCCAAAGCCACAAGGACCTTTGGGCCCGAGCTATAGCAGAGTGGTGAAGAGCATGCACTATTAAAATCTCAGTTTGAGACTAGTTTGAATCCTGGCTTCTACTATTAGTTTTATGGCCTCTACCAAGTAAGTTTCCTCATCTGTAAAACAGAGTTATTATAAGGATTAAATCAGGTCATATGTGCAAAGAACAGATCCTAGCATCTGACACATGATAAGAATACAGTGGTAGATTTTTGTTATGCATGTGCTAGGGATTAAACCCAAGATCTCATATATGTTCAGCCCACACACTACCACCGAGCTACACTCACTAGTCTCAATATCATTCAAACTCAAATCTATGACTGTGAAGTGACAAGAGCTTAACGAGATGTAGTAGCCCCTTGCTGATACTCATTTCTTCCCAGGGCCAGGCTGCAGTGAATGCTGGGAGTCTCCTCACCTGAGACATGATTTGGTAAAGGCTTGGACGCCAGAGCCGGTCTGCCGAGGCTCAGATGTTGCCTGTCTGTCTCTAGCATGCAACCTTAGTTTCTCTAGATCTACTTCATTCCCCAAATGGAGATGGTAATGGCATACAGAGCTAGCATTGATAAAATTAGCAATTTTATTAAAGATATAGAAGAAAAAGAAGTATCAGCAAATATAATTCCTTTGTTCCCTGAGTGACAATGATTACAAAGTCATCATTTTCTTCATGTATCTTTACATCCTTATCTCCCCTATATTCCAATATAAAATCCCTCATTCACATTGGGCTAATTGTCTTATTATTTCCTCTTTAATGTATTTATCCTGTCATTGAGGATTTCAACCACACCACTTTTATATTCTTCTTGGTCTCCCAAATGCCTCTTCTGGAAACTCCTCCAACTTTCTGCCATTCTTGTTTTCTACCATCTGCAATAACTGAAACCAGGATCTCATTCACCTCTGATTTTTGCTCAGGCTGCTCCTTCTGCCTGTGTTTTTTCCTTTCTTTCCCCTACTTTCCCTTACCTCTTTCTGCCTTGCTAATTCCTATTCATTCTTCAGATCTCAGCTTCAGGATGCTTGTTCTAAATTCTTTCTTTGCCCATGTTGGTCAAAGCTACTAATAAATCTCTCTACATCATACACTTTGGTTCTCCTGCCCCATCATATGAATTACAATGAGTTCCAGTTGAAGTACATTCTGTCATCTGTAAGTTCATTGTGTCTGTTCTAACCACTGCTGTATCTCCAGCAGCCAGATCATGCTTAGCGCACGGGTAGGCTTTAATAAATGCTTGCTGCATGAATGTATGAATGAGTGAGTGCAGCTCTTCAAACACATCAAGGGCCTTCCTGGCTCATGCACATGCTACTCTATCTGCCTAGGATGCCCTTTCTCTACTTCTCACAAGGGTGACCCTTCCATATATACTGAGGCTTCTTTAGATTTAAACAGCACTCCCTCCACAACTGTAGTTTAAAGTAGGTCCCCATCTCCCTTACTTTTAGTGTCAGCCCCTTGTTTAGTTCTTCCATAGTGCTTACTACAACTTGAATTACTTTAGTTACTGTCTTTTTGGTTTTTTGTGTCTCTTCACTACATTATAATGTTGATTCTATGAGGGCAGTGACCGTGCCAGTTATAGTCACTGCTGTACACCCAGCTACTGGTGCTCAATAAATGTTTGTAGAATAGATAAAAGAGAAGTATTCTGCAGGCCAATCCAGATCCCACCTTCTCTATTTCAGCCCTCGCCTTCCTTTCCCTTCTCACTATCTCTCTAGCACTCAGACTCTGTTGTAGAGTCTGCAGCATTTTCTGTTTCAGGACCAAGTTTACTTTCCTGTGTGTCTAGAATAATACAACATCTTATTTTGGCAATCATATTCTGTCACAAGTCTGGGGACAAACTAATTGTCAAAGTTTAGTCAAGGGTTGGCTATCCAGCAATTGTTCAACCAATACCTCTTTGCTTGACTTAAAAAGAGGGGGCCAGCCATGTGCCAGTGCCTCCAAGCTACTTGGGAGGCTGACATTGGGAGGATCATGGTTTGAGGCCAGGCGAATAGTTTGTGAGACCTCAATCTCCAAAATAACCACAGCAAAATGGACTGGAGGTGTAGCTCAAGTGGTAGAGTGCCTGCTTTGCAAGCATGAAGTCCTGAGTTTAAATCCCAGTCCCACACAAAAAAAGAAGGACCAGAGGTATAGCTCAGTGGAGAGCCCTTGCCTAACATGCATGAGGCCCTGGGTTTAATCCTTAGCACCAGAGAGAAAAAGAAAAAGAGAAAGAGAGACAGAGAGACAGAGAAATTCCCCACCCACCTTTTTTATTAATCCTTTCCCCTTTTCACCTGTAAGTTCATTGTTACTTGGGATTTTTTTAATATCCTCTAAGTCACTGAGCTGTAAATCCACACTTCCGGAATCACTGTCAGAAGCACAAGGGATCACCACTTCTTCTTGCTCACGGATTCTAGGAACAAAGAGAGGATTACAAGCAGTTTTTCAAAACTGCTTCTGTCTCAGCATTCATTTGAAAGCCCAAATATCTCCTTAGAGAGAAATTTATTGATCAATCTAAATTAAGTAGGCTCTTTCCATCCCAGTCCACAGTTTTTTTTTTTCTAATAGTATTTAACCATCACCAACAATCCCCTTGTTTATTTGTGTTCATTTGCTTGACTGTCTCCTCTTTTAGGGGAGAACCTTTGTCTACAATGTCATGGTTGTACTTAGAATACTTAGAATATCATCAGCTTTATGAACAGGGAATGGATGGATAGGTAGATGGATAAAAAGAGATGGTCCCCCTTACTCTGCCTATGTTTCCTTTTTCCATAGCACATAATACCTTCTAATATGTCATTCAGTCATTTGTTTATTGGTGCTTGGGACAGAACCCAGGGCCTTATGCATGCTAAGCATGTTCTCTACCACAGAGCTACACCCCCAACCCAATTCAGTTATTTATGGTGTTCATTGTTTATCTATGTCCTCCTGTTAAACTGCAGGCTCCATGATGGGAGGATCTTAGAGTGCTTTGAATGTATTCCAAGAGCCTAAATAATGATTAGCTGTGGTAATGTTCACTAAATACTGGCGCGGGGAGTAACTGGGTAGAGCTGCATCTACTGATGTTCAACATAGGTTAATTAATGAAAAACCAAGTTGCTAACCAGTAGGTATAATAGAATCCCACTTTTATTAAAACAATATTATTGCAAAAATATATTTGTGTGCACATACACTACACCCCCCCACACACAAATGTTGGGACGTGCAGAAAAACATGAAATTCAAACCAAACATTTGTGGATTGGAATTGGTGAGAGAAAAAAATTACTTTTTAATCTTATATATTGCTTAAGTTTTTTATATTGGCATGAATACTAAATTTTGACAAAGCTATGGAGTGAAATAAATCTTGTAAGTTGTAGTTGGAAGTGTAAATCGGTACGAACACTTTGGAAGTAATTTTGTATTATCTAGTGAAGTTGAAGGTGTACCTACACTATGATTCATTATTCTACTTCTAAGAATATATCCCAGTGAAACGCTTACAGGAGCATACAAAAATCTTCATAGCAGTAGTCATCACACACAACAAAAGCTAGAGACATCTGCTGGCCCATCAACACTAGAACAGATAATCTATGGCACAGTCACCCAATGAAGTACTACATGGCAGTGAAAAATGAATGAGTCCTAGCTGTACACAACAAACAGATAAATCTCACAATGCTGAAAGGCAGGTGTGGTTGTACATGTACATAATCCTAGTACTGGGAGGCTAAGGAAGGAGGATCTTAAGTTTGAAGTCAGCCTGGGCTAAATAGTGACACTGTCTCAAAAAAAATTAAAAAAGAAAGTCATGGGAAAATATGCAATAAATTTCACTTATATAATAAGTTAGATACCTAAAACTAAACAAATGCTTCTTGGCATTATAAATGTACATCGCAAAACTCTGAAGAGAACCAAGGATACAATATAATCCGTAGGATGGGTATCTCTTAGAGGTGAGGGAAGGGGACGGAATGGTTGGGATCAGAAAGAAGACTTCAGCATTATGGTTAGATGGATGCTCTACAGTTTCACTGCACCATTCTTTTTTTTTTTTTTTTTCAGTATTGGAGCTTGAACCTGAGGCCTACACCTTGAGCCACTCTACCAAGTCCTTTTTTGTGAAGGGTTTTTTTCAAGATAGGGTCTTGCAAACTATTTGCTCAGGCTGGCTTTGAACTGTGATCTTCCTGACCTCTGCCTTCTGAGTAGCTAGGATAACAGGTGTGAGCCACAGGCATCTAGCCCATTATTCTTTTTGTTTTTAAAAATATTCAGTATTACATAAAACAATTTTTTTGTGGTACTGACATAAAACAATTTTGGAAAAAGCCCAAATCAATGAAATTTGAACTTTATCATCTGAGAATATATTTCCTTAATAATAGTTTTTAAAAACAAATAGCTGGATTTGGTGGCGCATGTCTGTAATCCCAGCACTTCGGAGGCTGAGGCAGGAGGACTATGAGTTTAAGGCCATCCTGGGCTAGATAGTGAGACCCTGTCTCACCCCCCCTCTCAAACACACACACACACACACACACCCAAAACAAACTTTCTAGGAGTAGAACTGTTGGGTTGTAAAGCTGATGTTTTTATGAAACTGCCAATCTAAACGTACAACTTTACATTTCTACCAGCAGTACACAAGCATTCTAGTAGCTTTACTTACTTGCTAACATTTGGAATTCTTGCTTTTATGTTGACCATTCTAGTGGATATATAGCAGTAAGTCTCTGGTTTAATTTGCAATGGTGCTGATCATGTTTTTATGTGCCTATATCCTTTCTGATCCTTCTTTGATGAGGTAGTGATTAAAGTCTTTTGTCCATGCTTTTCACCAGGCTGTTTGCAGTGGTATGCTGGGATATGTTTATTAACAGATTCTTAGTGCCTTTTGTTTGTTTGTTTGTTTTTGTTTTGTTTTACAGTGCTGGGCATCAAACTGGGCCTTGCACGTGCTAGGGAAGCACTCTACTCAGTGTTAGAGTGCTCCATCTCCAGCTCATGACTTTTCTCATTCAGATAATAGTACTTGAATACTAGAAGAGTATTTCCTCAAGTTTTTGTACTACTCACAATGTAAAGTCTACAGATATGACTTTACTTTTAAGTTTAATCTTAAGTTTAACACTTAACCAGTGTTAAGTTTATATGATCAACAAAGCAACAAATGAAGCTATGGTTTGTAGCATGTGTAAATACTCTAACATTGGGTCCAAAATCAAGCTTCCAATGCTACCCTGGGAAAGAAGCTGTGCATTAGGATGCCTCATAGAGTATTTCCACCATACAGGTTCAATAGGAAAAAGCAACCCAAAGTGCATAGACAATGGTAAAATGTAACAAGAGACTTAGGAAATGATGAATTTGTGTTCAATATACTTTCATTTTATGTCCATATAATCTGATTTTCTAAATGGCTGTATTTAACCAATTTGCAAAATTCCCAAGAGCTTAATAATTGGCACTCTCAAAGCACTATGACACTACTTGAACATACTATTTATTTGTCTAATTATTGAGTTGGAGAAGTTTTTTAATTATTTTTTTTGGCAGTTGTGGGACTTGAACTCAGGGCTTCATGCTTGCTAAGCAGCCACTCTATTGCTTGAGCTATGTCCCTAGCTGAGTGTTCTTTGTATATTCTAGATCATACTGTACAATAGATCTTTCTGATAACAGAAATGTCCATACTTTTGCACTATCCAACATGAAATCCACAAGCTACCTTTAGCTAATGAGCACTTGAAATTTAGCTAATAGAACTGGACATTAAATTTTAAGTTCAAAGTGAACTATCCACATATGGATAATGGCTACCATAATGTCTTGCACAGTACAAGCAAGACACAGAATGGACTGTTACCTATGCCGGATAATAATACTTGGGACAATAGTAAAGATAATAACAAAGAGTAATCATTTTGTGCAACTCTGCACGTCCATAATAGTTAGGAGATTCTAGAGACAAACTGCCTGGAATGAAAACTTTATTTCCTTCTCTTTAAAATGGAAATAGCAACAGGATACACTTCACAGAATGAGGAGTAGAGTGCTTCGTACACTGTGGGGCTGTACTGTAAACGCTCAATAATTGGAGCTAGATATTAATACTTGTTCTCAGATGAATCGCTTCCACGTTGAGTCTGTTAAATCTATAAAATTAAGCTAATATGCTCCTCATAGTTATTGTGCGGCGTCACTTGTTTGCATATTAGATAAAACTTTACTTACATACGAGTTTATGAACAAGCGAAGGAGGGAACTGCCATAGTTTTCTAAAGGGAAGAAGAAATTAAAGAAAAATCCCAGCGATTACTCTCTCCTTCCGGCTCCTTTAAAATTGGCCGGGCTGCGGAGAGACTAGTGAGTGACAGAGCTGTTGGCCAATCACTGTGACTGGCCAATCAGAGGTGGCCCCGTCTCGGGCCCACCCTGAGACCTAGTCCAATTGCGTCCGGGTGGCGCCCTGAATTAGGACCGTTGCAAGACGGACGATTCCAACTGGGCTGGAGCGCGGGGGGAGGCAGGCGCGCACACGCGAACCCTGAGGACCTTAGGGCGCGAGAACGGGAATCCCCACCGTGGCTACAGTGGACGGCTAGACCCAGCTGAACCGCAGAGACAGACCTGTGCCTAGAGCCCATCCCGGCAAGCAGCTCCTGTCGCGAGTCCCCGGAGTCCCCTCCGGCGCGCTCTTGGAGCCACTTTCCCGAGCGGAAGTCAGTTTGCGGCTCGGGCTCCGTGGGACCAGCTCCGAGGAATGGCGCCGCCGGGTGAGGCGTTGCGCATGGCTCAACAGCGGGGCCCCGCGGCCCGTACGCCTTGGGGAAAGGGGGGCTGCTCGCGGGAGGCTAGTGCCGGCCACTCTGGAGCCGGCCTGGCGGGATACCCTTCCCCTGCGGGGCAGGGGCAGGGGCATGGGCTCGGGCTCTTTCGGGGTCGAGGGTCTGACAGAGGGCTGCGATCTGGTGGGAGTGCCGCGACCGGAGGTGGTGGGCGGGGGGGAGGGGGACCGTGCGGCGCGGAGCTACGGGTCCTCCCGAGGCCCAGTGGACACTGCGGCCGCGCGGAACCCGGGCTGGCTTCCCCCATTCATTTGACCGGTCCCGGCGGCCTGAGATCTGGGTCCCACCCACCTCCTTGCGACAGGGACAAGAAAATCACTCAGCAATCTGGGGGCTTAGAGACTAGGTTCTGAAGTCAGATTTGGGTTGCAAACGTGCAGTCTGCCACGTATTCTGGTGGGACCCAGCACCAGTCACATAACGGCCTGCTCCTCAGTTTCTCATCTGCTGTGTGCTGCGTAGAGTTGCCTCTTTAAATTGACATGGTCTCAGTGTATACTTGAGAATGGTGTACGGCACTAAGTGAGGAAAGTCCACTGCATCAGGATGGAGTGTATACTGCAGGGTGGAATGGAATGTCATTTCATCACCACTTGGGCCTGTAATCTTGTTATTCCCATTGGATAAATGAGAAGTTGGAATCCTAGAGAAGGGAAGTCTTACCCAAAGTAAAAAGCTAAACAAAAAGCCAAAAATGACCAAGCTCATTGCTTCACTAATTGAAAAGTGTTGGATAGTAAAGTGTTTAAAGTCAGAATTGAGTTTCAAACTGCCTGCAGTTTGAGTCTTGGTTAGTTATGTGTCTTAGTTAACTACTGAGCCTCAATTTCTTGGTCTTAGAGTGCAGGAAATACCCACCTTGGATGTTGTGAAGATTTAATGACTCAATGCATGCAAAGTTTGGGCCTACATGGCACATATTAAGCGCTCAGATCTTAGCCAGAAAAGTTATTGCTGTGGTTAACTTGAGGTGGGAAGGGGGTTCTGACACAGGTGCTGTTCTAGGGGATTTTACAGTCCAGTTGGGAAAATGCTGTTCATAGTTGTTCAGTAGCTCGAAGTGTATTGAGTACTTGCATGTACACTAGGTATTGGGAATTCAGCATTAGAGCCTCAACTCTTTTACATCTTCCCAATTGTTAGTGATTTGTTAAGCATTAACTTTGACTTCCAGCAAGACTCTGGCCTCTTCTTTACTATCTTCACCACTGTTGCCATCGTTCTCTATATAGGGGATGATGGCAATGGCCTCCTACCTCATATCCCTCTTTCTCTTCTTTCTTCCACATAATCTGTTCTCATGCTGTATTGTCACACTGAGACTGTTAAAATGTAAACCAAATCTTCTGCTCAGAACTTGCCAGTGACTCCCATCTCAGTAAATCCCGAGCTCCTTTGGTGGCATTCAAGGCCTTCTGGATTTGCCTCTGCTACCTGTCACCTTGTCTGTTAATTCCCATCCTTTGCCATATATTCTTGCTGATCTCAAAAAACACCATATGTGGGGGCTGGTTAAGTGGCTTAAGTGGTAGAGTGCCTGTCTAGCAATATATTCTTGCTTATCTCAAAAAACACCATATGTGGGGACTGGTTAAGTGGCTTAAGTGGTAGAGTGCCTGTCTAGCAAGGATGAGGTCCTAAATTCAAACCCTGGTACCACCAAAAAAACCCAAACTACCATATGTACTCCTGATGAAGTCTTTGCACTTGCTTTTCTTCTTGAGAAGGTTTCTCCCATAGCAGCTTCAAGATTTGCTCTTTTTCAGATCTGCACTCAACATCTTTATTACTTACTTGGGCATTTACAGACCACCATATTTAAAATGCAGTCCTTTCCTGATCTCTGGGCTTTTATTTATATATATAAAACACTTTTTAACCTTCTAACATAATAAATCATATTTCTTAATTATTTTATGTGATGTCTTTCTTTTTTCACTAGAATGCAAGCTCTATGAGCGTGGAGGTTTCCTGCTGTGTTTGATTGGTTGGTTTATTTATTTATTTATTATTTATTTTGCAGTACTAAGGCTTGAATTCAGAGCCTACACCTTGAGCCACTCCACCAGCCCATTTTTTTGTGGTAGGTTTTTTTGAGATAGGGTCTTGAGAACTATTTATCAGGCCTACTTCGAACCACAATCCTCCTGATCTCTGCCTCCTAAGTAGCTAGGATTACAGGTGTGAGCCACCAGTGCCTGGTTTTAATTTAATTCAATTTTATTTTTTTGCAGTGCTGGGATTAAATCCAGGGTCTCATACATGCTAGGCAAGTAACTACCACTTCGGCCACATCCTCATTCCCTTTTGCATTAGTTATTTTTCAGATAGAGTTTTTTTTGCTTTTTGCTCTGGCTGGCCTTGAACCATGATTCTCTTACCTGTGCCTTCCAAATAGTTGGAAATACAGGTTTGTGTTACTGCGCCTGGCCTGTTTTTTTGTTTTTTTTTTTTTTTAAAGCACTTGCACATTTAGATTAGCACATAGAAGGACTTCAATGGGTAGAATGTTCATAGAAGGATAATTCTCTTGAGTTACCCCTAATGTAAGCATCCATGCTTGCTTTGTATAACATTCTGAAAAAACAAAATGTGATGAAGTAGGAACTCTATAGTGTTAGACCTAGGTTTGAGTCCAAGATTGGCTATGTACAAGCTACTTTGATCCTAAGTTTTCTTATTTGTAAAATGGATAGAATAATGTCTTTCTTAAGAGTTCAAAGTAAATTTGAGCTATAGACAAATGACTTAGGACCTTTAATGTTAGCCTTGTGATTTCTGGTTAGTGCTTTTAGACAGTTTATTTTATCATGTAGCAAAAGTGGTTTTGTTTATTTGTTTGGTTTGATTTGGTTTTTAAAATAAAAAGTAGAAATGTACCATTCCTACAACTTTTTCCTAACCCCCAGAGTACCATAGGTGGGGGCTAATTTTTCTTTCCCTTTATTTATCATATACTTACTAGTACCTACCATGTGTCAGGCAGTTTGCAAAACTTGGAAAAACTGGGATGAACAAAAGAAACAGTGTATCCTTGTGGAATTTAATTTCACAGAGAAATCAGACCTCTTGCTATCATAGTTGTAAAAAATACTGCATAGAAATATAGATTGCCCTGAGTAGATATGACAAGAACCATAATAATGGTAGTAGAATTCATATAGCGCTTGTGTAGCAGTTATTATTCTAAGATCTTTCTGTATTAACTTGGAACACCTGGAGGATGATAGTATTGTTGTTGTTCTACTTTACACTTGAAGTGGAGCTGCGGCTGAGTAACTTGACCATGGTTGTATTGCTAATGGCAATCATGATACCAGAAGCCATGTTTTCTCTCCTTTATTTTACTGGGGACCTAATCCAAATGAGACTCCTTTTTTTTTTTTTTTTTTTTTTGGTGATCTGGGGTTTGAACTCAGAGCTTCACACTTGCAAAGCACTGTACCGCTTGAGCCACATCTCCAGTCCATCTTGCTCTGGTTATTTTGGAGATGAGGTCTTGCAAACTATTTCCCTGAGCTGGCCTCAAACTGCAATCATGGGAGGGCTTCTTAAGAGATATTTGCTAAAATCTGAAAGTAAAGATTAAGCAAAGTTGAAGTAGGGGCAAAAGAGTGCTGGATAAGAAAGAACATGGTATCTTAGAGAAATAGGCCAGAGGTGACAGGCATCGGCAAGGGTAAAGGGGGAGATCATTTCAGAGGTAGACAAGACATAGTAAGGATTTAGGATTGGTTCTGACCTAGAAGCACAAGATCTGTGAACATCCTTTAAAAGGAAATGGTGTGACTCCTGTGCTTTAAATACTCAGAGCCTTCTGGAAGGACTGTCCTAGACATTGAAGACCAGGTTCACTACTCCCCAGTCTCCTCTTCAGGCTAAACCTCCCAAGTTCCTCACCCTTTTCTATGTGATTGGATTCCTAGACTTGCAGAGTGTCATTGTTGGGACTACGAATGCAACTTGGAAATAGTGTGGAGTGTATTTAATAGTTGTTTCCCTCCAAGGTTCAAGCCTATCTTCCTGTTGGCCCTGACAATCATAGCCAGCATTCAGGCTTTGACGCCCACTCACTACCTCACCAAGCATGATGTGGAGAGACTGAAAGCCTCACTGGACCGTCCTTTTACAAATTTGGAATCTGCCTTCTTCTCCATTGTGGGACTCAGCAGCCTTGGGATCCAGGTGCTAGATGTAAAGGTAAGGCTACTTTTGTCTTGCTGGCCAGTGATTCGGGAGAACCATAATCCCCTTGCTATGTTCCTTTGTATATTTCAAAACGAACTCTTGCTTATTTGAGGATAAAAAAGTTAATTTAATATAAGAAATATTTATTTTAATCTGACAGATTTTTTTTTTATGGGGTGTGGAAAGGGTTTGAACTGAGGGCTTTGCACTTGAGCCATGCCTCTAGTCCATTTTGCTCTGGTTATTTTGGAGATGGGGGTCTTGAGAACTGTTTGCCCAGGCTGGCCTTGAACCTTCTGATCTTAGCCTCCCAGGTACCTAGGATTACTGGTGAGAGCCACTGGTACCAAACTTGACAATTTTTGTTTGAATGCCTAATGCCATCTCTTTTTAGTGGAATAGAAGGAAGTGACAGATCCACTAAAAACTTTTTCCATATCTTTATGAATGAGACTGCTCAATACCATGTATATTTGTGAAGTACCTAGGCTAATAAGTAATAAAGGAGTCCAAGGAAGGGTCACTTACATGTATTAAACAGTGACAGTGTTCTGGGCAATCTGATACATGTCTGTGACTTGATGAGGCTCTAGGAATAGTATTATGGGAATTTACATTTTATTCATTACAATAGTGTGAACAGCTAAACTGAGACATTTTTCTGGACCAAGTTTCTCATGTACCTTAGTTTTCTGTGATTTATAACAATTACCATGAATTTAGGGTTTAAAAATGACCTTTTTACTAGCTGATAGTTCTGTAGCTCAGAAGTCTAGGCAAGCTTGCCTGGGGTCTCTGCTAAGGTCAAGGTGAAGGTATTGGCCAAGCTGGGTTCTTACTGAAGGCTATGGCGAAGAATCTGCTTCTGATCTCATTCATGTTGTTAGAATCCAGTTCCTCGTGGCTATAGACGGGAGGTCCCTATTTCCTTGTTGGCTGCCC